TTTAAGATATAGTTTTTAAAAAGATTCATTTTTATTTACTTTTAAAGCTAGCTTAAGAGAAATTAGAGTAGCTTAGGTAAGTTACTTAAGTTTAGTTAAGGAGGCTTAGGTAATAGCTTAAGATAGATCTTAGCTAGTAGCTTAGTAAGGCTTAGGCTAGAATAGTGCTACTTAGGTTCCTTTCTTAGAAAGGAAACTAGGGCACTAAGTTGTAGATAGCTATATTGGCTATTATAGGAAGTAATGGGAAATAGGCTCTCAACATATCTAGCACTCCTTTTCCACGGGACTCTCATTAGATCATAGTAAGGTTAATATCAATACTCTTCCTGGCGGCAACTAGGCAAATTACGCTCTCGGCAAAACTGCCGTCCACGAATACGGTCACTGGCTCGGCCTTGCTCATACCTTTCAGGGCGGCTGTGATGACGGGCTCGGTGACGCGGTTGATAATACACCTCCAGAGAAATCGGCCAGCTCTTCTTACAAGCCTCGCGATTCTTGTCCTCACAAGCCCGGCCTCGACCCCATCAACAACTATATGGACTATAGCCCGGAGTAGGTTACCCCATCCACATCCATCATTTCTTTTTTTTTTTTTTTTTTTTTTTTTTTTACTCTAGAACTAACTTTTAAGCTCAGTTCCTGCATGACCGAGCTTACGCCTGGCCAATACATACGCGCGCGTCAATTCTGGGAGTTATTTCGTGACCCAAAGGTTACAGCGCCGTCAGCCTCAACCACGATCCAGCAGACGGCCGCGCCCAGCGCTTCTATCTAGTGTTACGTCCGAAAAGGGGGCCTTTTCTACTTAACATCTCTTTTTTTCTACGGACTTAGGCCCTTCTAGACTTATTTCAAAAAGTTTTACCAGTTCAAGCTCCAAGCTTTTTTAGGTTCTCAAGATACTAGGAATGGTTGCAAGGGGTTTGCTAGAGCTTTTGGACAACTTTCTAGAGTTAGTTAGCGATAGAAAGTAAGGTTGTTACCCCTTTCTTCCTCACAGATGCCTTCTTCTAACGAATAATCTATTCAAAATGAGAAACAAATAGAAGGAAATCTAAAGTATAGAGATCTGTCTCGGGCTCTGATTACAGAGCTTTAACGCTGTAGTCGGTGCGGCCGTCGGATGTCTCAGTTCATACACGCCCTCCGGGCCCGGATACGGGTCCGGTCCACTTACACAGCCGAGTTTACAAGTATTAGATTAAAGTTTTACCAAATCCTAACAACATACAGCGAGTATATATCAGGTCAATATGGTAACATGGTCCGGGCTGTCCAACTAAGTAAGCTATTTGCGCCCTTTATTCGTGGAGCTTCGCGGAACTAATTGGAGTATCCCGAAAATACCTTATTACCCCTAGGTGCAGCTGCTCTGCTTTGGCCACCGGATAGCCCATCATGCTCTCGGCGCCCCGACAAGACCCGGGAGGGGTACAGGCTGTAGGCCCGATACTTTTCATGTGCTCGAGTACCTTTGGCTGTGTGTGTTTGTGTCACTTGGTATTACTATACATTGTTCTAGCCTATACATAGCTGTCTTTGTCATGTAAACCATTGTTTCCGACACGGGTCCTCTCCTTTGTACCCTGTAATTTTGTGTCGCTCTAATAATAACTGCGCAAGAAGCTGGAACGACGGCTGCGTTTGCCACCGACGGAACAGGCTGTACTGCGTTGCGCAACGCTACATGTGGTCAGTCTCTTCACTCAAACGCAAGTTCTCACGTAGCCGTGTTTCCCTCGTAGCTTGTGAGAGTTCATCAGATGGGTCTCGAGGGTTGGTGCCCCGGCTGTTATCCCGCCGAGAGCTTGAGGTCTCCTTCGTAAAGACACGGCTCGCGGAGCAACACGGGAAATACAAGAAAGCGGGAGTCCTTGTGACTGTAGCCGGCTCTCTTTGAGGTTCTAGCAAAACTACTGTGATTAACTCGCTTCGAATATGAGGAACCGTAAAGCCATGCTCACTTTTTGTATACGGAAACACGGGCAGCAGGTAGCATTGTGTACAATGCAGATGTACTTAATCACAGCTGCATGGCGGGGAAGCTATATAAAGAAACTCTTCTTTCATGTGTTGACGCCCATCATCACATATTTCAGACAGCTCGTCGCCCAGAAAACAAAGATCTACGCATCAAGATATCAAAACACTAAACTGTCAAAATGTCGTGCTTGATTGGGCCTAAGAATACAATCACGATTGAAGAAACAATGTCTACCTTGAAGGGCGACTATGATCGCCACATGGCGGACTGGAGCAGGCCAAACAGCGACAAGGCGAGAATGCTCAGAGGCGCCGAAAACGCAGCCGACTGCGCCCTGAATATCATTCCGCTGCGCCAACGTGACTGGCCGAGGGAGGCACAGTTTCGGCGCTTGCGGGCTCATGTGTACACTCTGCAAAATAAGATGCGCAAAGCTGAGGCGGACACGGCCAGGGCTGAAGAGGTTGAGAAGAGGATCAAGGAGCGCGAGGAAGCTGGTGAAACGTTGGTGAAGGATGTTGTGGGCAGCTAGGGAATAGAGTACCTATTATTGGAGGTCTTGAACATGTTAGTTCGCACTCTATCTAAGAGCCGATGGTTTCACCTTGCAGATTGATGAGTTCCTTGAACAGACTGCGGTCTCTTCATGAGCTCTATCAATTCAATCGTAGTCGATTATTACTCTGCATTTGTTTGCTATTTCGTTTCTCTTTGCAATGAGCCGCCGGTAGTGGTGATACACGGCCCGCAACGAGTCACAGTAGCTTGATTCGCTCCCGTCAACGGAATCACCAGAAGCGCACAGAGTTACCATGACAGGACTCTGTATCCGTGTAGTCAGCAAGACGCAAAAGTATTTAAAGAATTTTTTTGCTCTAGAAAGAGATTCATAGTGCCAGAAATCAGTCACCCATACACCAAGATGGCTCCTTCCGCGCCCCTCAACAGCCCAGAAAGTCTCGCCGAGACATTAAGACTCATGAAGAACGAAGCGAGGACGCTTAAAGATCGAGCAAGATCTTACCCCAATGGACAGGAGCATAAGATTTTGCTTTTGCTCAAGGCTGCCGCCATACTCCAAGATTGCCTAAAGTTTATCGTCGAACATCGTCGTCATTTGGGGAGAGAAGAAGCACTGTGTCGAGATCAGCGGGACTCGCTGCTGGAATATGTACGGAAGGAAGTTGAACAATCCAATACGAATTATGATCAGTACAAGGCTGAGCCGGTGAAGCCGACGAAATTGCAGAAGAAATGCAAGACAGGCGAACAAGGGGAAAAGCTTGTGCCATCGCCACACTAGCAAATTCGGGCTGCAGCCGTCCTTCTTGCGTTTTATATAGAATTTAGAGCCTCTCTAGTTGCTTTTTTAAATCCTTGTTTCTCTCTTATCTAAATGGCATCAATTAATGCCATGTTAATTTAACTTGACATTAAAATGCTATGAGTGACAGTGATGAATGGCTGATGGCTATGGAAACTTGGCGCGCGGCAGCAGTCGAGAAGCCACTGTAGTGTCGAGAGACTGGCCTGCTTGCAGACTCTTTGCCTTTGTCCATTTTCTTTGACTCTTTCTTGCTTTCTTCCAGATCTTCCTTTTGCTTACCTTCTCTGCGTGTTGGGTACGAACAAGTCTGGAAGACGGCATAATGAATACTCACGAGTGCCGAGTGATCCCGATCTCCTTGGCTGCACAGCGGTACGTTGCAATAATGAATTCTATTCAGCAGCTGGCTAGACTCAAAAAGACATGATTGATTGATGGCCACGTGCGTAATTACTCCGCCACGACTTTTATACTCTGGCTAGCGGAGACCAGGCGCCATTCGGCCCGTGAGGCGTCAACTTACTAGTCGGCTTTGCCCGAGGTGCTGAGCTCTGAAATCTTCCCCTTAAACGCCGATCCTAGATACCATATTCCAATCCTGACACTCAAGCTTCAAAGGAGATGTCATGCGCGCTGGCAGGTGACGTTTGCAAGGCCGCACCCGGAATTCTGACAACGCACCGCGTTTCACTATGCTTGCCTCACGCTCAACATCCTGTTTACTTGGTAATTCAGAGAGCCTTATACTGCGGGCCGCCGTATAATTTTTATTGAAGATCCTGCTAGGTACATCATCTAAAAAATAAATGGGGGAAAGACGGTGCGGCGCCATCGGGGTCGTCTGTTGTGAGCGGAGCTGGAGTAATTAGCAAAGGTCGACACTGAAAGCGCCTATCATCAAAAGGGAAGGCAGGTTCCAAATTTCTATGGCAGCCTTACAGAGACTAATTCATGGCTACAGGCAAGATTCAATTCACCAATTCCCCTTTGCGTTATGGTAAAGTTGTGAGTCGATTGCTATACGCTTACACTGTAGCTGCTAGACCGTATCGCGTCGCAGAGCCCATCGGAGGGATTTCGGAAGTAATAAGCGATGTACGATCTGTTGACGAGCTGAACCTCCCCACTCTAGCATTATTCGCCGACAGAGCTTTTCATGACGTTCCTACGGCATTGTATCGATCGAGTATGTAGCTCGCTCGTCTGATCCTGCAGGTTACCTACGTTAACGAAGCTAGTTTGTATGGCTCTATATATACCAGTATCCCAACCCTTTTTATTGGGGTTTTGGTGCAAGCGCCTCGTTTTAAGACGAGTGGCCGACATTTTAGAGCACGTAACAAGTAAATGCGACCGCGACACCCATCAGAACATTCGGCGCGATCGACATGTGCATGGAGCATGCCATGGAAAACATATTGATGGATTACTAAATGCATAAAGATACGTTGTGTCTATTTCTGACGCACTTTGTAATGCCAGTGGAGCAAGGACCAAGATTTAACCTGAGCAATGTTGTATACAGACGCGCGCAATGACTCGAGATTAACAATGTGCATAGATAATAATTAGGGTGTTTACTAGTAACCATCATATACATAAAACATCTTTAGCAACATGAGACGAAGAAATCACTGATGGTACTGTTATTTACCAAAGTTGGCAATGATTGACTGAGAACTTTAGCCCTTTCACTTGTATTGTCGTGCAGTATATAGGGTCGCCTTGACCCGTGTTCTCAAAACTTGTAATCATCAATATTTTTGTTCCTCCCATCTCAAGTCAAGCACTACTCCAAAATGAAGTTCTCAGCTACCGTTATTGCTGTTTTTGTTGGGCTCGTCGCGGCTAGTCCCCTTCCCACCCTCGATACTCGAACTTCCCCGATCCCCGCAGCAAGCCAGAATAAGCCACAATCTATCACCGGCACCTCAAATGGCCATGCCGACGCCAACACTGGAAATTTTATTGCTCCTACCCCGAGGGACTCGAAAGGCAGCGTCCGAGTGATGGTGGACTCAAAGCCGAACTAGCTACTATTGGGGGTGTTGCTAGATGATGCATCTGCAGGCTGAAGTCGCAGAGCAGCATGAAAGCTCACAGACACAAATATATCATCACGTTTTTTTTCTTCTACATGACAATGCCACTGTGAATCTGAACAGGAAGGTTCAGCAGCCTGGTTGAGCAAGCCGTAAACTAAGCAGCAGGAAACGGGAACCACACTTCTTCACTACAACCCAAATTTAGTGGTCCAAGTCAACTCCAAGGCGCAGGTGTATTTCTCCCGCCAGGTGATTATTGCGCGGTGAATGTCTCCTTGCCGGTTTTTTAAAAAAAAAAAAAAGGCTTCTCGTCCACAGATTTGATTCTACCCCACGTAGCCGTACGACTTGTTCACGATCTCTTCTGTGATTCTTGCGCAGTGTACGGAGGGACAGCGGGTCGAAGTGCTTTGGGCACAACATGGATCGTCAGGGTAAGCTGCAGGGCGGTAGGATTGCATGTGGGGGAGAAGCTAGCAAAGTAACTAGCGCTGTGTAATTCTGTCCATGGCCCGTTGTTTAAAATGATGTCCGACATTCGAGGCATCAGCCGTGGGATGAGGTGGCGGGCTTATATGCAGCGACGCAGTGATGATGCCGTGATGCGTGACACTGCAGGCGCCTCTTGAGCGTGCAGGTACCTGCGAGTAGGTAGGCACAGCACCCTTGTAGGTAGGTAGGTACGGTAGCGGTTCGTACCGAGGGAACTGATGGCGGTTCTAGTCACTGTGATGAATTTAGACGTAGAAGAAGAGCAATGAGTAGCAATCCGCCACAATGTCGAACATATTGCCTTATCATAATGTAGCTCGGACTTGAAGCCGCCTTGATACTGTGGCTTTGAGAATGGGATGAGCAGCCGCTCTGCAGGCACAAATAAAAAGCAAGCAAGGTAATCGTGGTTTTTTTAGTTTTGCAGCGGCTGCAGTGGCACCTGGGGACCCGCCAGGTGGCTACAGCGGAACAGCGCAGCCGGACCCGAGTGGTTCTTTGCCCGCATATCAGGATCGTCTTGCTGCCAGCATGCTTTTCCACACCTATTCAACATCGAGACTCGAGCCATGCATTGCATTGCATATTGATTTCTAACAAGAGAAGCAAACAAATTGCCGAGCACTGGATAAGTCTGGGACAAGAATCCTCTTCACACCCAGAACACGCATCTCCCAGCGCCTTTAGTGGGGTTTTCAGGCGCTAGAAATGATCCGGCAGTCGGCAACTTGACTCTTCAACTAATACCCAGTACCTAGGTACCTACCTAAGCAAATAAAGTATTTACCTAATAACTATCATCCATAGGGCGTTGCAGCGGGCCATGATGACAATTTCTGGACTTTGGCTCTCTGTCGGTAATCATGTAAGTTTGCGCTAGCTATTTTCGCCATTTTTCTTTTTCCATTCGACTCTTGATCTGCCTGTTCCTTGGCGCCGGTGGCTAGCTTTCGAACCCAATAGAGCCTCACTTGTACGCTTGCGGCCCATTCTTTTTTTTCCAATACGGCCCGCCACCCCAAAATGTCACCCAGTCTGCTTCCACTGGCCACGAGTTGACGAGCCAAGAGATAAAATCCCCCATCGCCGCGTTTTCATCTCATTTTCTTTCCTCTTCTCTGCACCTTTGACATCGTCGCGTGTTCATCGCCGACTCGGCGCTCGCGCTCTTCTCTGTAGGTACGTCTCCGTTGCTGAGGCACGTCATCATTTCGGCGTCTTCCTTGGTCAACCCTTGTCAGCGTAGCACTGCCGCCAACAAACACCAACAAATTGGCTAACCCCCCAAGCACAAGCTTAGAATCAAACCTCATTTCATTTTTTTACGTCCTCGCACAACCACCCAACCTCGAGAAGAGAAGAGACCGCTGCTCCTCCACCACCATCGATTTTCTCTTCTTGTCCTCCACATCGCTTCAATCTCGACGATCTTCTCCAATATGCGCAATGCTGCCTCGGCTGGTGGTATAGCCAGCCTGCGGCCTGCCGTCCTCGGCATGGCGCGGGTTATCGGTCTGGGCCTCTCTTCCGTGGCCGCTGCGCCTCTGCAACAGCGCCAACATCACGATGGCGGCGACGAGCATCCCGACACGCCGCTCTGGGTTCTCTGCGTAACGTCCATGGCCCTCGTCCTTCTCGGTGGTGCCTTTGCTGGTCTGACAATTGCGTAAGCTCGCGTTCCGAATCTCGGCTCCACCCTCCAGCTCATACAGGTTACAACTAATCACACTCGGCAGATTGATGGGCCAGGACAGCATCTATCTCCAGGTCGTCTCAGGTGATCCCGAAGAACCGCAACATAAGAATGCCAGGCGCGTCCTCGACCTCCTCAACAAGGGCAAGCATTGGGTCCTCGTCACCCTGCTCCTCGCCAACGTCATTGTCAACGAGTCGCTTCCCGTCGTCCTCGATCGCACCCTCGGCGGCGGTGTCGCCGCCGTTGTTGGCAGTACCATTCTCATCGGTAGCGTCTCCCTCCCACGTGTCAAAACTTGAAGCTAGTCAAAATTGTAAGCTAACTAAGTCGTGCGCGCGCCAGTCATTTTTGGCGAAATCGTTCCCCAATCCATCTGCGTCCGATACGGCCTGCCCATCGGTGGCTACATGTCGAAACCCGTCATTGCCCTCATGTACTTGCTCAGCCCCATCGCCTGGCCCACGGCCAAGCTGCTCGACTGGATTCTCGGCGAAGACCACGGCACCGTCTACAAAAAGAGCGGCCTCAAGACCCTCGTCACCCTGCACAAGTCTCTCGGCGACCTCTCGGAGCGTCTCAACCAGGACGAGGTCACCATCATTACCGCTGTTCTCGACCTAAAGGACAAGCCCGTCTCTGAGGTCATGACCCCGATGGAGGACGTCTTTACCCTGTCCGAGGACCACATTCTGGACGAAAAGACTATGGATAACATCTTGTCCTCTGGCTACTCGCGCATTCCCATTTACCGCTCCGGCCAACCAACAGACTTCGTTGGCATGCTCCTCGTCAAAACTCTAATTACCTATGATCCCGAGGACAGAATACCGGTTCGCGAGGTACCCCTCGGTGCCATCGTCGAAACACGCCCGGAAACGAGCTGTCTCGACATTATCAACTTTTTCCAAGAGGGCAAATCGCATCTTGTTCTCGTCTCCGACGACCCCGGTTCTGACCATGGTGCCATTGGTGTCGTCACGCTGGAAGACGTCATTGAAGAGTTGATTGGAGAGTAAGCGGCCCTACACGAGCAACTTTAGTGTACTCAGGAACTGACAACATTAGGGAAATTGTCGACGAATCCGACGTATACATCGACGTCCACAAGGCCATCCGACGCCTCACCCCCGCCCCGCGCGCTCGCTGCGGCCACGTCGATGTCGCCGCCGCCGCCGGGTACGCAGGCACCGCCATCGCCGCCAAGAAGACGTCGGACAATACCACTCTTATCGGTTCCGAGGAGCCGGGCGACGGTTCCGCGCTCAAAGTCGGCTCGCTCGGCGCCATCAGCGACGGAGGCGACGGGCACTACAATCCCAAGGTGTCGGTGCTGCTGAAGCGTCACGGCTCCGCCGGCCCCGACGGCCGCTTCGAGGCGCCCATTTCTGTCAAGACGTCGCTCAAGGAGATGAAGTCGTCGCAGCTTCGCCTTGGCCCCGCCAACCGCGCCGCCCACCCGCGCAGTAACACCCGCAACGTTTTCAAAATCAAGCAGGGCCTCAACCCGCAGCGCATCACCACCCTCAAGGCCGACGCCGGCGTCCTGCCCACCAACGGCGACATTTCCCCCTCGGTCCAGAGCGTCGCGTCGGCGCTTCACACCGAGCCGGAGCACCTAGAGGTGCTGCCGGCCGCGGCCATTCCCGAGCAGGAGCAGCAAGAGCGTCCCGACGACGAGACGACGCCACTGTTGAATGCAGACGCCAATGGCGCCGCCGAGACGATAAAACCGTACGGAGCGAATGGCAACTCGAAAAACACAAAGAGCAAAAAGGGAAAGAAGAAGTGACGAGGAGGAATGTTGATTTTGCCTATTCAGGTACTGGCGGACTTTTGACATTTTTGATGAGTTGGTTCATTATGGCTCCTTTGCAGATGAAGAAAGCTGTCAGCTATTACTTGTCGTACAAGTTTTGCAGCTGGCGTTACACCAAAGTCTAATTAAACCTCTTCCAAGGCTAGCCTGTCGCAAACGGCGTTACTCATACTCGTCATTTATATAGCTTCATCGAGTCTTTTTTTCAAATGGCATAACTAATCTATTAACTTATACAAACCTTGTTTACGTCAACCCATAGCCATGTCATAATCAATCATACCAGATCGCATTCATGCCAAAGCCAGGCTCTGGCACCCGCACCCTCGCCACCCGCGCCAGGAACTCGTCCTGCCAGCGGTAAATCTCCAACCATCCCTGCTCGTCGTCCGTCAGCGCGAGCCACTCATCGGTCCAATCCGCCGGCGCGACCGCGTTGCTGTGTCCGCCGCTCGTCGGCGTCGGGTTGAGCAGGATCTGGCGCTCAATCCGCCCATCCTCTTCGCTCAGCTTAAAAGCCGCCACATATCCCGTCAACTCGACGCTATTCGACCTGGAACTCGCAAACAAGTACTTGCCCGAGTGCGACACGGCGCAGACGTCGGCGCGGTACATGGTCCAGCGGTCGGGTATACCCGGCGGGATGAGCGGAAAGTGGCGGCCCGTGTACGTCGGCATATGCGAACCCTTTTTGTCAATGGCGTACTCGCAGATGCGGTTGCCCTTTTCCATGAGCAGGTAGAGGTGCGAGCCGGACGGGTGCACGGCGACCCAGCGCGGGTGGTCGCGCGGATCGGGCGCGTCGACGCTGCCGACGAGCTCGACGTGCGGCGAGGAAGGGTCGGGGCGGCGGTGCACCCAGAGCTTGTTGGCGGTGAGGTCGGCGGAGTAGAGGTGGCGCTCGGCGTCGTCGGGGGACAGGGCGGTGCCGTGGATGCCGGAGGAGGGCTGGTAGGGAAAGTGTTGCGCGTCGTGAGGGAGGAGGGCCCCGGTGGAGGGGTCGGCGGAGTAGACGGTGCCGTGGCCGGCGTGGGAGTAGAAAGGGTTGCAGTAGACGCCGTACGGGGGCAGGCGCGCGGCGAGGAGAAAGATGGCGCGGGTGTTGGTGTCAGCGGAGGAGGCTTCGGCTGAGAAAGAGTTTGTAAGTGAATGGAGGCAAGGCGAGAGGCGAGGAGGAAAGAACTCGCGGGGGTTTGGGGTCGTGAGGATGAGCTTACGGTCATGGAGCATGGAATGCGAGACTTGGTGCGTGATGGCGGTAGGAGACTCGACGGCAAAGGAAGACCACTTCTTCATGGCGGCGCCGTAGATGGCGGTTTTGTTGTGCTGCGGTGCCATTGAGTTAGCAGTGGACGGGCGATCAAGTACGCTGTAGAGGGGAAGGGGAGCGCGGTACGTTAAAGGTCATCCAGGAAATGGGCTCGTCTTTGGGAATGGCGGTGCGCTTGACGAGTTTGAGGGTGAGAGCCTCATCGTCAAAGGCAAAGGTGAAAATGGCGCCGGGCGGCGTCCATGTGCCGACCATGAGGTGGTGAATCGGCATGATGATGGATGCGTTATCGTGGTGGGGTGGCGGTGGTTGGAGATACAGAGCAAGTAGCCCGACAAGACTCGAGAGAAGAGCAAAGTTGAAAAGGAAGCTATGAGATAGAAGATGCCATTCAATTGACTATTCTCAGATATTAGAAAAATGTTGTATTTGGAAGTGGACGTTGTCGCTTTTATTTAGCAACGCGTGGAAAGATGCCCCTCCAATGCCGTCAGCACCCCGAAACTACCTACCTACCTAATTTAGTGGGGGGTGGCCGCTCTGATCTTTGGCGGGGTCCTCGGGAGATGCTACGGTAATTAAGAGCCATAATTAGGACAAATCGATTTTTTTTTGGTCTTGATAATCAGCCAAATGCTTCCGTTTCCCAAGCCTCTTGGACCGTTTATCCCTCCTGCCACCTTTTTTTTTTTTTTTCTCCTCTCCGTCTACTTTGCTACCCGTTGCTGCCCTGCTGATGCGTCGCTTTTTTGCGTATTTCTGCTGATTGTACTTCTTTGCTTTTCCTGGGTCTGCTTTGAAATTGGCTTGCGCGGGGTTGTTCAAAGTTTCTCAGAGGTTGACGGGATGCCAAAGACTGCAATGCCCGGTCTGCCTACCTCTGGGGGACCCGGGCTCCGGGCCGGCCATCACCGTTTGGGCGAGGCCGGCTACCCACAACCAGCACCGGTGTAAGAAGATTGCTATGCTTTATTTTTTATTTCTTTTTCTTCTCCTACATTTCATTATGAACATGCTACCGGGACAACCCATACTTTTTTCCTGTACCTGACTCTGCATCTCCGGCAGTTGTCGTCAGAATATACTCGTTCATTTCCCCACATCCCGTCTCCAACCATTGTGTATCCCGTATACTACATCGTGGCCGCTCATAACAACGATGCAGCAACCGGCGGGGCGGCACTTCCCGCAGCACAGACTTCAACCAGCACGCCCTCAACACCCGTGCCGCAAAGGATTAGCTAGTTAGCTCTTTCCCCCGCATTTGTCTCTCCGTAGGCCGTCACCGACATAATGTGCACAAGGAAGATCGTTTGGAAACCCTGGCGAATGCCACTTGCCAAGGAAAGCTGATACCGCTCGCTTTATATATCGAACAGGGAATGTCCACATAGGGGATTAGCAGTACGCAAATTGTGAAAAATTGCGGAAGAGCCGGGGGCTTAAACAGAAACTCGTGGCCTCCCTACTTGAAGCAGGCTAGTAAGCCACCAACCAACTGGCTTCATTTAGCAGCACTGCCATACCCAATTGTACGACTATTGCCACCAACTATACAGAGAAAGAAACTTTGCCCAAGATACCAGACAGTCTTGAATCAATTTCATCATCCAAGTAACCTGCTTTTGTTATGCGGCGCTTGGTTTCCCCATCTCCCTTGCATGTACGTCACCCACCTAACCTGCAGCTCCGTCACTGATACGATTAAAGGTGGGGTTTGTCGTCACGGCAACGCCCCTCCATAAACAACGGCTCGCATCTCAACGTCGTGCATCCGGTGCCCGAGGCATGTACTGCTCTCAGCGGTCAAGGAAAACGGCCCTTTTTGCTCTCTTCCCCTCTTCTTCATGATTTTTTTCTTTCTTATGTATTATTCTTCCCACTATTAGTGGATGTTTATTCTTCATTCTCATGGGCATCTATCCTTGAGCATATCTTCAGTGGCTTGCTTGGTAGTCGGGAGGTTAGACATTGTTCGCCGCCTCACGGTTCCGGCGGACTCTTCAACTGCTTACTCTATTGACGAATGAGTAGACGTTGACTTCAAGCTCTACTGTGCTTTTTTTTTTTTTTTGCTACCGACACTGCCACTTTCGCCAACAGCTACTTCTATATCCATCGAAATAGGCGAACACGGCAGCTAAAGAATAGCTAATGCTGCGAGACACCGTGATCAGGTACAAAACTGAAGAACCGATCAAAGATGCCAATTGGAAATCTGGGAAAAGCTACGCCTGTTGCGCTCGGCGAAATTCAACGCAACCTTCAAGACCATGGCTCCCGCTCGCCACTAAAGACCAAAGACGATGGCCGGGGTCGGTCCAAGTCGCCGACCAAGTCTGCGTTCCCGAGCCTCAAGTCTATGGGGGACAAATGGAGCTCTAGTCGTGCCACTGCTTCCCGCGAAACATCTCCCACTAAACCACCAAAGTCCAAAAAGTCGTCCACGAACCTCGCCGGGCTGCTGTCGCGGCCCAAGTCTTTCATCAATCTGCAAAGGCCCAGCACCGAAGACTGTCGACCGCGCTCCACTAGCGATAAGGAGAATCGAACCCCAGAACCGGCAGCGACACAGCCTCCGCCCATCTTCGCACAATTCACATCGACAATTGACGACAAAGCGAAAAAGCCCAGGCCACAATCGTGCTATCCGTCACTGCAGGCTGCGGCCCCCCTTTCCCCCAACAATGGTGTGCTCGAGACCTCTCAGGGAGAAACTCAAGGCAGGCCAGTTAGCACTGCTGGGTTCAATGGCCATGTCCGTAGTCGTTCCGCTGTCACGGCTGAGCCGCCCATGGAGCCTGGCGAGATTGCGGCGCATCTCGAGGCACTGCTTGATCGGCGCAACATTCCGCAGAACCAACGATACAAGATGCGCAACCTCAATGATACAATAAAGATGGAATTTATTCGGCAGGATTGGGCCGAGATGAAGGCAGGCCAGACCGGTAGCTTGCCTAGGAGTGACAGCAGCAGCAGTACGACTGCTGTGGAGTCTGACGTCGAAGACGACGCCAATAGCAAACGGGCGCGTGGTAGAAGCCGCGGACGAAGCTTTACGTTCTCGCGAAGCAAGCGAGATCGGTCCTCCTCCAAGAAGGCCAAGACGGAAGGGACAATTGGAGGTCGGTTCCGCAGCAAATCCAGAGAGAGGGATGGAAACAATCGTCCTCAATCTTCGAGCGGTACCGGCTCCAGCGTGCTGTCCAAGATCAAGTTTTCGCAGGGGCCAAGTGATTACGTGGCGTATCTTCGCAAGGTTCAGAAACCAGAGCTGGTGGAGGTGGGCAAGCTGCACAAATTGCGCCTGCTGCTTCGCAATGAAACGGTGACCTGGACGGAAGATTTCATTCGGCACGGTGGCCTGGAAGAGATTGTTGGTCTGTTGAACCGCATTCTGGAGGTTGAATGGAGGTGAGCAACTAACATCGAATTCTCTCATACAACTCGTTGTCTAACAAACACGCACAGAGAGGAGCACGAAGACGCGCTGCTTCACGAAAACCTGCTGTGTCTCAAGGCTCTGTCCACGACGGCACTCGGCATGGAATATCTGCATACCGTGCAGGCCGACCTCTTGCCCAAGCTTTTGCATCTCATCTTTGATCCCGAGAAAAAGGGCCCCAGCGAATTCACGACGCGCAACATCATCACCTCCATCCTTCTCATGTACATATCCTCTGCCTCGCCCGCGGAGCGCATCATTCGCGCGAAAAATGTTCTCGGCCACCTGCGCGATCCGCAGCCCAAGGAGGAGAACCAGCCGCTGCCGTTTTTGGTCGGCATACACCAGGAGCGGCCTTACCGCGTGTGGTGCAAGGAAGTCGTTTCCGTGACCAAGGAGGTCTTTTGGATCTTTCTGCACCAGATCAACGTCATTGCCGCACCCAAGGACCAGTCACGACCCGGCGACGACAATAGCGACAACGGCAATGTCTTTTTTGGCAGCCAAGATACCACTGCGCCGTACTCGTACATGCATCGCCACTTTGCCGCCGAGCGCCCTCCTGTTGCCGCCGCACCCTACGTCGGCGGCGTCGAGTGGGACGCCACAAACTACCTTGCGTCGCACGTCGATCTCATCAACGCCATCGTGGCCTGCTCCGCCACGCGCGACGCGCGCAACGCGCTGCGTGCCCAGCTGCGCATCTCGGGCTGGGAGCGCTGCATGGGCGGCAGCCTGCGGCTCTGCAAGGAAAAGTTTTATGGCAGCGTCCACGCCGCGCTGCGGACGTGGGTCGCCGCCGCGGCCGAGGACGGCTGGGACGTCCGCGATGTTCGCTTCGGTCCCCCGCCAAACGAGTCGCCCAGCAGGGCCGCGAGCCCGCGCAAGGCAGCCGCCGGGGGTAACAAGTTGGAAGAGGCTCCAAAGCTGGAGATGCCCCGGTTTGACCTTGGCCTGTGAATGCATGCATACACGATGTCGGATGGCTAAGTACATGTTTGGAGCCAGAGAGAAAAAGGCTACAGTTGATGTTGCGATCATTGGGACTGCTCTTGGATGGATTATGCCTTGGCTGTATATTCTTCAAAACTTATTTTTTTTCTTCTTTTGTATGTTTGCATCTTTGGGTCTCTTTGGGTCCCTGGGGTCACCTTGCAGGGATCGACCACTTTCCCTTTCTCAGCACATGAGCATTTCTCGGAAAGGGTCTCTACTCTAAGCATGTTAATGAATTGACGAATACAAGCTCTCCAACTCGGATCCTGTCTCCTACGCACCGCTCTCGCTACATCAATCTGTATATTGACTGCCCGCCAGCTCTTATCCACGGTGGCGCTGAAAGGCCTCCTTGACGGAAACGCCGAGGGCGACGTCGGCCTTGGCCTTGTCGTCGGCAGAGGTCAGCTTGGGCAGCAGCTCCAGCACCTGCGTCACCTTGTCCTGCGGGATGACGACGACGCCGTTAACGGGGTCGTGGACGGCGAGGTCGCCCGGCGCGACGCGCACGCCGTTGATGGTGAGCGGCACCTCCCTCGCCCAGGGCGTGCTACTGCCGCCTGATCCGACGGTCGATGTACCGAGCGCCCAGATCTGTCTCGGGTCAGTTTTGATGCTCAGTAGTTGGCAGCAGATGTTATCATTTTTTTTTCTCTGAAAGTCAACGTACAGGTAACTCTGTGCTTTGCAGCTCGATCAAGTCTCGAACGCGACCGGCAACGATGATCCCCTTGAGGCCTAGGACTTGCATGCGTAGGGCCATGATGCCGCCGCAGATGGCATTGGTCTGGCCGACGGCCTGCTGCATGACGGCAAATGTGCCGGGCACGGCATTGTCGACCCAGTGAGTGTCTTTGGGAAAGTTGGGCGCGGGCCGCGTGCTGGCCGTGGTGGGATCTTCATCCTTGGCCGTGAACAAGACTGTGGATACGGGCGCTACAACAACACGCTCTTGCTTGTTGCGTGGGCTGTATTGGGTGAGGTCGGCTATGAAGCCGGCGCCGGATACCTTGAGCTTGAGGAGCGCATCGGAGACGTCGCAGGCAGTGTACTTTTCCAGCTCACTAATAGCCTGTGCGGGAATAGTACTGAATGAAGACATGGCTCGATGGTGTGCGCGGCCAGTTTTCGTGACTGACAGCGCTGCAGCTCGGTCATTCGATAGGGTTAATCGTGGCTGCGTAGAGTGCGTGGTATATGCCCGCGGGCCAGCGGCACAGAGTAAGCTTGCTCTCAAAGTCGCTGTCGGTAATGCGGCCCACACAAGCTCGCGGTACGCCGAGCGGCCCAGTAACCTCGGAGAGGCCATGGCTCTCCGAGCTATGGGTATGGCTGCGGCGCGCGCCGAGTACTACCAGTACGGTGCTGCCGACGAAGAGGGGCACAGATCAACTGCGCAGAAAAAAAAAGAACCTCGGGTTCGCCAGCCAGGCAATCGGTCGCGATTTGCTCGGTGTAGGTATTGTCGTGGAGAGCTGCGGCGCAGAATCGATGGACCGGGTACCTATGCAGTCAACAAGAGGCCGAGAAAGAACCAAAGGCTGATCCTTGCGCAAAGGCTCAGCCGTGATACGCTCGAGTGCACAAACAAAGACCAGAATTGATTGTACTGCGGAAAAAGAGCGGTGGATGGGCAGAAAGTGAAACTTTGGCTTGTGAAGATGCAGAAAAAGAGACAAGAGTCAACAACGGCTTGCCCACCCAGCGTATTATTAGCCTTGACCTCGCTGCGATCAGTGGAGCGGCCCGCCAAGGTGTGTGCAGTAGCCGCAAATGTCCAGTGCGAGCCAGTCATTGCGTAATTATGTACTGGTGTTGTTTATGTACTTGTTGCTCCAGGACGGATAGTCAGCCTTTGGAAAGAGCTGCAGTAGCCTGCTGCAAAACCCGTTCCAACGGAACCCAATTATGGCATCGAATCCACTAATCACAAAGAGAGAAATTTGGCTCTGGTTTAAGCCAGCCGCTAGAACCATGGCTCGAGCAATGGCAGAGGCACGGAAGCGCAGCCGTTCGAGCCGCAGAGAATTGGTTGGGCGGATAAGGTGAAAAACAGGCGTTGGTTGGCGTTCTGGATCATCGTGCGCCTCTTGAAAGCCATGGAAGCCATGGAAGCCATGGTGGAGATGCGACTGTGCGTAGCGAGCAGCTAGAATCAATCCGTGCAGCATTTCTTTGGCTGAGAGACAAATATAGACCTGCATGAATGGTTCGCGCGGATGTTGTGTTGAATAGAAGTCGAGGTGGTGGTTGAGGAAGACGTCCTTTGGCTTGCAGGTTGACAGCTGGCCGACAGCTGGCAGCTGCCCACAGCAAATGAGACAAGAAACGGACCAACCAGCAAAACGCTCAGCATTGCATCGAGATGTCTTTTGCTCAGGTTCCAGATACCCTTGAACAGGAGCCAATTTTCCACCATCGGGCTCCTTGCATTGATTGCAGATCGAGGCAAGAGAATAACACAAACGGCGAGGAAAGTAGCATCCCATTTGCCAAGGACATCCCAGCCCAACACATCGAGCTGAAAAGCGCAGACGCGCAAAGGTAGTCAACAAATCTTCAGCCCAAGGCAAGTCCGTCTCCCATCTGCAAACCCCAAAAAAAACCCTTCTGTCTGAGTTTTCTTGGCTAGCAATGTTTGGGCACGACGGTCCTGCCATCTCCACCCTCGGCGTCCCTGTTAGTTGGAGCCTTGGAGTCGGAGGGTACCAACATCTGCATGCAGTGCGGAGTACTTGAGCTGGCTGGACACCAGGCTTGCCTCGCAGGGAATAGTAGCCACCCAGAATGCTGGGACCACGCAGGCTTGGTTGCGGGACTAGCTGTTCTCCATGGATATGTTTGTCGAAGCTTGACATCTGCCGACAGGTCGTCAGTACATCCCCACGGAGAATGAGAGCTTCTGCCTCCTCACGCTAAACGGTTAGTGCTAGCAGGCGGAAAAACCAGCAAGCAGGCTTCAACTAACACGGTACAGAGTCAAGTCGAAACTGTAACCGAGAGCTCTGCTGCAAACATTTAAGCATGCAATGCAGGCCGTCTATCGAAGTAAAGCTAATGCAGGTATCCCTGATGTGGCACATGTATCTTGTACAACACATATCCCCGGAAACATGATGTCGCGACTTTTCCAGCGGCGGTCTGATTGCTTGCTTGCGTGTTTGATGATTCGATCCCTAATTATAATAAACAGGCAACAGTCCGCTGCTGAGACACGCGAGACGCCACACATATTCTGGGAACTTACTGGGGAAGCCGGCCATATTGCCCTACGAGTGTCTTTGGTCCTTCCTTCGCGCCCAAGACGGTGGTCATCGGCGAATGGCTGAAGGACACTCGAGAGTGGCAGTGGATTTGGCAGAATGATTGGTGTCTTGTATTAGCCCTCGGCGGCTAAGCTAATGCAAAGGTCTGGCCAGTCGTGGAGGTGCTCTCGTGACGGAAATTTGCCTGGTAACTAGCGGATATCGCCACGAGCAAAGATGATGGTTCTGTTCAATGGACTCGAATCTAACAAGCAAGCTAGATAGTCCTGGCAGAGATTCGAGGCCATGGATAGGGACTGATCTTACCAGCCAACCAACCCTCGTCGAGACTTGACAAAGAGAACGGAGCTACGACTCCGCAAAGGCTTCTCGAAGAAACGACGAGTATCATTCTCTCGTGCTACATATGCAACAAGAAGAGGCGAGGCGTCGACTAGGTATGGATGGAGTCGGTTCAGGATAATTGCGGTGCTTCTGCGAGCTCCAAGCAAGCCACACACAGAGCCAAGGGGTGCGAGGCTTAGGCGTCAAGGATCCTTTTTGAAAACTTTCTGGTCCATATACAGACTTGTCAGACTCGGAGGTTTTCTGGCCAACTACCTGGTTACCTAGGTACTGCCTACCTGCCTAGGTAGGCAGGTAGGTGATTGGGTGACTGGAAGCCTTTTCCGCGCCGACCCAACAGGTACCTGTCTGCCACTAATCTGAAACCTGGCCTGGCCGCTGGCCTAGCAGCTCAACAGCACGTTTTCCGAAGGCTACATAGGGCGCACAAATACATTTGGAAGAGCCGGCGCAACGTATTATCTGCATTTCAGCCTGGGAACCAATATATTTCATACCGAAATGGTGTTCCATCTTGCGGTGCTGCTCTGACGGCAGACGCTTGCCACGGCTTGAAATGTCCCCTCTCATACTGCTCTTTTTGTCACTGTCGGGCCATCCGTTGCCACATCCGCCTCATGCCCAATAGTCCATCCCCTCTCATCCCCTCCATCCCATCCATCCATCCACCCCCCTCCTCTCTCCTGCTAACCATTGCTTCTCCTTCTCCGCCTGGTCTTCCACATATCGCCGCGGCCTGGCTCACGCAATCGCTACCCCTCCTTAGTCGGTCCAGTCTGTGAAACGAAGGTCCCTGTCCTTGACCTCGCGCCGAGCCGCATCTCGCTCTCCACCTCGCAGCCACCAACGGCGAACATCACCACTTGCGACTCGGGACGCTGTCACCACGACCGACTATCTTGCCCCACCCCCCACCAGCGCAGAGTCACAGACGCCCAGACGCCCTTTGAGCCTCGCCAGATCTTGGGGCGAACCTGCACGCCGCTGCACCGTACCGCAAAGCACCCGCCGGTACAGAAGGTGTCCCATAGAACAACCTAGCCCAAAACACACTTGAGCACGGAGCTAGGATCTTCGCCGACCCTTGCTGTCAAAATGTCCATAAAGTAAGCTCTTCGGCTCTTTCGTCCGCCTGTCCCCATTTCCTCCTTCTTCATTTCTTGCCTACCCTGCAAACTCCGCGCTGCTTCGGACGCCCTCCAGCTACGTCAACGTCGCTGCCTCCCTCGCTGCGTCGGAACAAGCTCTTTCTATCACCCTGCTTTAAACTTCAATCTACCTCTGTTTCTCCCTTCTCGCTCCCTCGGCTGCCTACTCGACACCCCGTTCAGCCTCATGGAGCCATGGGCTCCGGTCCTGGCCTGTGATGGACAACCCTCATGACTACCTCATCTCCTCTCCCGCTCCGTCTCGGCAAATAAACCCTGACAATGCGCATAGTTGGGTCATGCTCAACGAGAGCGGCTTCGTCAAGCTCGGAAACGAACGGATCCTCCTCAAGCTCGACTCTAGAATCTCATGCGACCTCTCCGTGCCGCCGGAGCTACGGGCAACCGGCATCCAGTTTCATCGCAAGAGTGACAAGGGTTCCTTGTTCCTAACCAATAAAAGAGTACGCTACGCAGTCCCCGATCGACCCGATGAGAAAATGCAAGAACTAACAACTGCTCTATCAGATTGTCTACCTACCAGCCAAAGCAACCCAAGAACCGAAATTCGAGTCTTTCAGCGCCCCCATCCTGAAGTTCCAAGATTCATCTACATCCTCGTCTATGTGGTGGGGTTGGGTGTGGAAATCGGACTGCATTCCAGTATCAGGTGGTGGCATACCGCCCGACCTACCCCGAGTCGAAGTCAAATTCACCTTTTCTGACGGTGGCATGATGGAGTTCAACGATGCCTACATCAGGCTACGCGAGAGACTTTTCCAGTATCAAGAGATGCGCCGAGAGATGGGCCCCGGCACAGACATCCCCGACGAGCCCTTACCCGCGTACGAAGCTGCCGGTTCCACGGAGCAATCTACGGCCAGCACGTTGAACGTGCCTTCTAGCGGCCACGCGCGGTCGGAAAGTTCATCCAGTCGCCGTGCGCCTAACGAACCCCCACCCAACTACGATGAGGCTCAGGCTCAACAGCTCAGCAACAGATTGGAAGATCACATCCGCGATGGTGTCAATCGTGGAGAGAATGACCCGTAGTTGGTCATGGGTGCGGATATTGACACGACTGTAGACCAAACTAGAATTTACGATCTGAGCCACCACTGTGGCATAATGAGAAACCATATAGTATGTCCAGCAATAAATGGCGTTGTTTCACGGCGTTCCATAGTGCATTAGCAGACAAACTTATTATTATTACCATTATTATTATTATTACTTACTGGCCTACGGCAAACCCTGCCAGTAAAGGTACTGGACCGGGGAGCATTGAGAAATCTATGTGCACCAGACAGCCATGGCATCAGTCTCAGCTGTATCAGCGCAAAAGACACCGTGATCCGACCAATACAATTACAAAAAAAAAAGTTCAACATCTCATGCTCTTTTCATGTAATAAGCCAGAGTCAACCTATGAGCGCTAGAATAATGCAATCACGTCATGTGACCTTTCACGTGCTTCTATCTTGAGGCAGTGGGACCAATCAAAATGCCGCAATTCCTGACCAGTTTTCGCTCCGCGATTTTGGCCGAGAGCTTCCGGCCACTTTCGATTTCACGTAAGACCATCCAACCGCAGTACAGAACCAATTGGCCATTGTTGGTTTTCCTGTTCATACACAATGGGTATCTGGGACACATTTTCCGATCTTGTCGAGGCCGTGACGCCCTGGAGCGTCGTTGAGGCCGAGGCTCCTGCCGCGGCTCCTCAGGTAAGCAGATCTGGGAACCCCTTGTAACCGAGTGACAGAGCTGTTTCTGCCGCAATTGGCCGGCAAGAAAAACTGCGCACCCGCGACTACTACCCGGAGCAGCTCGAGCTGCTAAATGTTGTCTGTACAATGGTCTTGCTGACTGGCCACGCAGGAGGAGGAACCCGTCGAGGCGGCCAAGGAAGAGACCAACGAGGAGGGCAACGAGGAGGCCCAGGCCGAGGACGCCGAGAAGGAGGAGGAAGAGGCTGAGGGCGACGAGGAAGAAGAGGAAGAGGAGGAGGAGGAGGAGGATGAAGAGGAGATTGTCGACCCCAAGGATACTCTCGAGGAAGGTCCGTGAATTACCCCGTTTTCACCGCGACGAGCCAATGCGACAATCGCAGTCTACTGCGACTGCCGAGAATCGCTTCTACCGACGTTGCGACACTCCTCTTTTCGAGCAATCGGCGTGCTAATGTTGGTTCTGTTGTAGAGTGCAAGCAATCCAAGCAGTGCGCAGGTCCCAAGCACCACTTTGACGACTGCGTCGAGCGCGTTCAGCAGCAGGAGGGCGAGGGCGAGGCCAAGGAGGACTGCGTTGAAGAGTGTACGTTATCCCGAATTAACCAACTACGGCGACTAGTTACGCATTCGCAAACTCAACCGGTCCATTGCAGCGAAAACGCCGAGTGCTAACAAGTGTATCGTCTAGTCTTTCACCTTGCTCACTGCGCCACCGCCTGCGCCGCCCCTAAGCTGTGGTCGAAGCTGAGATAAGCTGTGCCACACAAATGCAACTACGATGTACACGGTACACGTCCGGCCGAGACAGAAAGCTGTTATGACGGTTGTTATCCCAACTCTGACGATGTATAAAAACGGAGCGAAAAAACGAAGACGCAGGATGGCGTGTGTCAAAGGGATAGAAGCATGGATAGGATGAGACGGGGAAATCAAAGCTTGATGGGGTTTGCCTCGTCTGTGTGGTTGGCCGCACGTTTATGCTGTTTTGGGGGAGGTCTCGGGCTGCGGTCTTCCATGTACGACTCGAGGGCACATTTTGTATCATACGCTTCAGCGCTTACAATAGATTTTTCTCTCATAATGTGTTGTCGAACTTCACGATTCATACACTACGAGTGGTATTACTGGGAAGCAAGGCAGTAGGTGAAGCGTGAAGCTAGTTTCTGAAAGACGAGCTTGGTAGCTTGGACAAGGCTACCAGCAGCGTGTCGATGACCGAGGTATTGTCTTGAACAACTCTCTGACTAACAATGCTCACCATTTCGAAGAATTGCGAGTTTGACGTTGTCGAGGCGTGTCAGGAGGCCTAAGAGTGACGCTGACTGTGAGTATCAAGGGCCACGAAAGGGCGGAAAGGTCAAAAAAGACGAGCCTTTTGATTATGGCTCTCTCGATGCAACACATCAGACGGCGCTGGGTTGTGCCATCATAGGGACGCGAAGGGTGGTAAACTGAACTGTCCTTACGAGGCCTCCTAGTATCACGATGCTTCGTTCGAGGTGCGTCGCTGTTTGAGCAAGACGGAAAAGACGAACGGGATTACGGGTGCCTTGTTGGTCGTACGGTAGCGCTGCACTCGTACTGCATCTGTTGGTTCAAGTCATGCATTCTCAAGGCCGTCTGAACAAGACCGCTGCTGTCTTTACATAGGAGCAGCGGGACACGGCGGACCTCGAACTCAACGAGGGGCTTCACCATAGAAAGGATCGGGAAACGAGCAGAAAAAAGCTAATCGTGAAGCACACGTAGTAGTCTCCAACGTCTTTTCTTTTTAGAGAGAGATACACTCGCAGCACCATCTGAAGATGGCCGGCGGCCGGCTCGGCTGTATCGCGGTCTGCCAAGCCCGGATGATAGCTTGTCAGATGCCCAGGCGCAACAATTGTGTTTCGGCTTTGTTCCGTTTAGGTTATCCTTGAGAGTGATCAGCACGGGAAGAAATAGAAATCATTATTTCTTCTTCTTCATATTGGAACGTTGCATGGCAAAGTCAATGGCAGATCAAACAAGAACAACTCGATGATTTTGAAACTCTCGAGACATGCACGTGCCGTGGGCAAGAGGCATGGAGAGGGCCGATCGAAGACGATATATAACTTAAAGCAACGGGCTCGAAACGGCGCTCGCAGAGACACAAGGCTAAGATGAAAGCCACGGAAAAGAATAATGGCGGTATTGCAGTGAAGTAAAGTGCAGTAAAAGCGGGCGCCGGGCGGAGCCAGCGTCAGGCTGGGCACGTTTCAGCGGCGGCGGCATATTGATTGGTAGGTATATCATCCATGCCTGTCAAATAAAGTAGAAGAAGGAAAACTAGTGCATGCGAGTCAAGGTAGGTGATTGAGTCAATGCAAACGGCAAAGGACGAGCAAGGGACGAGCAGACAGGGCGAGGTTATGAATTACTCTATGACGGCAGTTCGCATTGTTGGACGTTTTGTGCACGAGTGGACCGCGGGATTGATTATGTATTTAATGAAAGAGAAAAAGGACCCTGCGCTGTATTTTAGATAAGCGACCCCGAGGAAGACGGAGAAGCTGGAGGCCAGGAATAAAAGGTGTCCATTATTATCAATATCAAGTACCTAAATAAATGTGGTCTTGAAGATTCATGGCTTGTGATGGAACCAGGAGGGGTTCCGACGACCAGGGTCTGAGGAGCTCGCGAGTCGAGACACATGCTTGACATGTTGGGCAAATTGACGCGATCCCTGCATGATCCACGTTTTTTTTTTTTTTGTCTGCGGGCATTTGATGGCATTTTCTTGGTAATATATGATGACGCTATCGAATCAAATGACATGGCACAGATGCAACAGCAGCCGTTGGAGCTCGTGGTTAGGTTGTTGATGGGCCAGGCGTTTGACAGTGGACCGAGGTTCGCGGCCGTCTTTCCAGTTATGTCCAGTGGCGGTTTGAACGGGAAAAGGGTGCAACAAGACTGCAAATACAAAGCAAACGATGGAGACAGTTGGGATGGTGGCGCTTGGGTTCATAATTTTTATGCTGGATGGGACGGAGATTTATTTGCGTTACTCTCGGGCAAGTCGGGTCAACCAAGTTGATGGTTTGTGGGCGTCTGTGCGGCCAACCGTGCTGGTTGCCACACGTGGTGATTTTCACCAGGTGATGGCTATTTGTGAAGGCACTTATGCATGTCTGACATTTTGTGTGAGTTCGGGATCCCGACTTGGGATGTGTCAAAAACTCGGACAACGTGTATGATGTCACAGAGTCTGCCGCCTCGAAATGCGCATTCGGCTAATTGAGGGAGCCAGCCAGCCAGCCAGCACGCAGTTCAACTGGGAAGACGAAAGCTGTGCGTGCCATGCGCACGTCCTTTTGGGCGGCGGGAGGGAATCGCTGATTTAGTGGCGGTGGTTGGTGGTTACGTAGTTGAAGATTGTGCCGATGAGGAATCGAGGTTCCGCGGGTCGTGGGCCGTGGGTACGCAGATACGAAAGAGATAGAGACGCCGGCGAGAACCTTGTTCAAAGAGTACCGCCACCACAGTTGAGCTGGAGCAGCAAATGTAGGTACTCGACGAGCTGGGGAAGTGAGCTAAAAAGAAAAAAGGCTTGACCGAAATCACCGTTGCTACCGCACTGTTTATTGTGGAGGGACCGAGGGTCGATGTGCTGTAATTGGGGGCAAAAGAGGCAAGGCCGTACGACGCCAATCACAACTTCACAAGGAGGAGGAACGGAACAGGGTTCTAGGGTTCTAGTTGGGAAAAACAAGAAAAAAAAAGAGAGAAAGAAAGGGCTTGCAGGTTGCAATCAAAAGACCGACCTCGAGAGCGGAACTATTTGCTGCAAGGAGAATGGTCTCGTACGGATGGAAGCGTGGTGGCTTTTCTGGGGCCGTCTCAGTGGCTGCTGTGTTAGATACCTACGCAGGTATACCTAGGTAGTCAATGCATCTTAATATAGCACCCGCTGCCCTATAGCTCGCCTGTAACCTAGATGTAAAAGGAGCCCATAAGGGGTAATTGCAGGGCAAAAGGCGGGTGCTAAGTATTACTCTGCGATTGAATTCATGCAGACACTGAGCTGTCGAGATGATTTTGAAAAGAAAATTGGATTGTAGGAAAAGGAAGCTACATCATATCTGAGCAGACTAAATCACGTTCTCAAATACCTCTCCTTTTTAAGTTGCACTCGACCTGTCGCTGCATTGCCGCCACCGCTGTGCGTCCAATGAACCCCACAGCCACAGGTCCCTTCTAATACCTCGCTGCTGACACTTTGTCACCATTGCAGACACCCCGGCTCTCCTTCAGAGAGGGGCATCTACAGTGGATCAGTGGGCTGAGTGGAGATCAACCACTCGCTTACCCACAGTCACTAACCCTTCTCTTCAACCAGATACTACCCTCAAACCTATCCCGCGACACCCGCCCGCTCACTCAGGGACCACCCAGACCAGAAAAGAAGGAAAAAAGAAGAGGGAAAATAGTGACAGTTACATAGCCATATAGTTTTAAATTAATCGCCCCTCCACATGACAACTGACAAAAGTAATTTAGGTATCTGCTCCGGAGTTCGCTGCTTCAGTGGTCTACGGACTACACCAACTAGGTAGCCCATCTGATGAACCGTCTGGTCCTGTCTACCTGCCCCCCAGGCTCGTCTCGTGTTTGCTACAAAACATCAACTCCTCCCCCTCCTCCATCACGCAGTCTCGTCTCGACTTGCCTTTCCCTTTTCCGGGCTCCGACGCATCATCATTATCGAGCCACCTGTTGATTCCGCCACTTATTCTCAAAGTATAGCTTCTCTTAATACAGACACGGACAGCGAGAGATCTCGTCCACCAGTGTTTGCTCCCGTCCAACATCGGTTACAGCATCGCAACGCAGCGTCAAATATTTCGTCAGCAACTACGCATACTAGCATCAATACCCCGGCTCTTTTTTATAAAGCCTACTCAGGCCAGCTTGCTAAAAATAAAAGACCGCGCCCAAAAAAAAAAGAGGTCACGGCCGCCCATCCCAGCTAGCTACTACTGCACGTCTTGCAGTAGTCGGCTCCATTTTCTGCTGCCCGTCTCCAGAAGAACGTTGGCCACCTCAGGACTCAAGCCAAGGTTTTGAGGCTTGCAGAACGAAGAGCCTCTTGTCCCTCGCCAGCTGAATTCAGTTCATCAATTCCCTCGATACCCCCACGAGTGACCCCGAAAGAGATATAATACATCAGTCGCCCCCAGACTCAAATCTCACTCCCCTTTCCTCGGTTGAGACCACCCACTTCAGATCTCACCAACCACCATACCAGTCGGGACAAACGCCAGGCCTCGCCGCAAAAAGTACCGAGTCCACCTCTTACCTGCAAACCGCCCTCGTGCCTCTTTACCTTTGGGCGCGCGAGACAATCGCAGAGTCTCTCACACATTCTCACTCCATTTTTAACGACTGCCATCTTTTCCCTAACTAGGCCTCGAGTACTCGACAGTTGTCGCCGGACACGACCGGCCTCTCGGCCACACCTCCAACAATTCATCTGCACAGCCGGCATACTGCCACCAGCCACACACCATGGATCAGGATACCCAAAGGCCTGAGGGCAAGCTGGACTCGCCCATCTATAGCTCACACGAGCAGCCCGAAACCAACAGGCGCCTGACCGGCTCCTCCTCTGCCACACCCGCCACCCAATATCGCACCTACAAGCGCCGCTGGTTCGGCCTCTTGCAACTAGTCTTGATGAATATTGTGGTTTCCTGGTGTGTAAGTAATTGCCATTCTCCCTCTTCGCTAAAACAATTCTGCCCGCGAACCTCTCTTCTTCCAAGGTACTGACAAAAAGCAGTGGCTCTCATACGCACCTGTGGCAGACAAATCCGCCAGCTACTACGGCGTCTCCAATAATGACATCAACTGGATAAGCATCGCCTTCTTCTTTTCCTTTGTCGTCGCCACCGTCCCCGCCATCATCGCCCTGCATCGTTCCCCGCGCGTCGCCATCATAATCTCCGCCGTGCTCATGCTCGTTGGCAACTGGATTCGCTACGCCGGCTCCAAGCACCGTTCCGGTGGTAACTACGGCTACGCCATGGGCGGTACCATTGTCATTGGCCTCGCTCAGCCTTTTGTTCTCGGCGCGCCCTCGGCCTACTCGGATCTGTGGTTCACCACCCGTGGCCGCCTCGCCGCCACCGCCGTCACCTCTCTCGCCAACCCCTTTGGCTCCGCCCTCGGCCAGCTCATCAACCCGCTCTGGGTCTCGTCCACCGGCGACATCTCCAACATGGTGCTCTACGTCGCCATCATCGCCTCGGTCGCTTGCGTGCCTGCTCTCGCCATCCCCTCGCGGCCACCCACGCCCCCCGGCCCCACTGGCGAGACGCCGAAGATTGAGCTCCGCGCCTCGGCCCGCGCCGTGCTCTCCTCCCTTGAGCTTTGGCTCATGCTCATCCCCTTCTTCGTCTTTGTCGGCTTCTTCAACTCATTCAACTCGCTTCTCAACCAGATCCTTGTCCCCTACGGCTTCACCGACGACGAGGCTGGCGTCGGTGGCGCCGTCTCCATCGGCGTCGGCATCGTCACTGCTGCCATCACCTCCCCCATTATCGCCCGCTTCCACAGCCTCATCCTCTCCATCAAGATCCTCATCCCCATCCTCGGTCTTTCCTACCTCGTCCTCCTCTGGATGCCCGAGACCCATGATGCTGGTGGCGTCGCCGGCCCATACGTCATCATGGCCGTCCTCGGCGCCTCCAGCTTCGCCCTCGTCCCCGTCGCGCTCGAGTTCCTCACAGAGGTCAGCCACCCGCTTGGCCCAGAGGTCACCTCCACCGTTGCTTGGGCCGGCGGCCAGATCTTCGGCGCCGTCTTCCTCATCATCGGCAACCACCTCGTCGACGGCGAAAACGGCGACCCCCCGCACAACATGAAGCGCTACCTCATCTTCCAGGCTGTCGTTTGCATGGTCATCGTCCCCGTCCCGCTCATGCTCGGACTCTTTGGCCGCAAGGAAAAGGTTGTCCTGCGTCGCTTCAAGGGCGACACGGCACCCAGCGAGTCGTCTCTCAGCCAGGCCTAAAAGATTGTTGCATTTGGAAAAAGTCAATGCAACTTTTTTTGTTTTTTCACAAATTTTGTCATCATTGTTGCTTGGATAGCCTACTGCATTTTGTATATACCTGGAATGGTGCGTGGGTCATGACTTTTTTGCAAGACGTCTTTGTCTTGTATGTATTTTTTGAGTTTTAAAACGTCGTATATATCACCTTTTCACCTTGTCAACTACCAGACTAGCTACGAGGATCAAGATTTCTAGAATGAGAGGACCATGAGAAAGTCTGATCAGGAGAAAAACACTACCATGGAAAGAAAGAGAGTTGATGCAAACCAGTGCTTATATTAGTAATATGTAATGATAGTATACGGGAAGTCATTTCGACCTTTTTGCAACAATAATGATGCACGCAAACCAATTTATTGTGCAGCTTACAGCTCCAGAATCTCCTCCCACTGCGTTCTCATCCTCTCCATCTCGCGCCAGCACTTCGCGCCCAATTCCTCCATCCCCAGGAGCTGCTCCCTCGTCACCGTCCGCGCGCCATACCGCCTTCCGCACTTTTTATTCAGCGAGCCTGTCGTGTCGTCCTCCTCCGGGTCCTCGACCTCGCCTTGCCAGCCCCAGTCCTCGACCTCGGTGGGCTTGACAAACGAGTCGCCCGCGCGGTCGTAGGCGCTGCCCCACTTGATACGCTCGGCGGCGAGCTCGTCGAGGATGGACTGCTCCTGCATCGTGAGCCACACGGGAGCGTAGGCGCCGCGGTAGCCGGTGGACGTGTGCCAGGGAGAGCCGGCCCAGCGGCAGAGCACGAGGGCGAACTGGTACAACCAGAACAGGAATGCGGGGAGCGGGAAGAGCGTGCTGGCGACGATGCCGGGATGCGAGAGGTACATTCGGGGGCCGACGAGGGCGGTGTCCTCGGATTTGGTGGTGTCTTTGACGTCGGTTGACTTCGGACCCGGACGCGACGGCGTGGTACAAGCGGTAGCGTCGTGGAGCAGGCTCCGCGCGTACGGACGGACATGCGGCAGGGTGCTGGTGAGGCAGAGAATATCGGTGAGGCGTTTGGCCGACTCGTAGGCCGCGGGATGGGTGAGGCACTGGATGTCGTCAACGTCAAAGGTGTTGCGGTGCGCCTCGACGCTGCTGGACCAGATGATGCGGCCGGGAGGCAGGACCGAGCTCCTCGGACGGGTGAGCAGCGGCCTGAGCTTGTGCGTAAGGCAGTAGTGGCCGAATGTGCACGCGGTAAAGACTTCGCCAAGCAGCGGTTTCTCGGGCTATAGAGACGATCAAAGCATGTTAGTAAGTGAGGCCATAAACTAGATTAGGGCCGGACCGGACGGGGGTCTACATACATAGCCGTAGCTTGATCGCTCGTTGAGAATGCACGTCGGCAGCGCAGTCTTGAAATCCGGATACGTCGCAGTCTCCAGCAGGCCCTTTGTGAAAAACGACTTGATCGCGCCACCCCAGTTGACGCCCTCCCAGCCTCCATACGCCGCATTGTACACGACGCTGTCGAGCCGCGGCACGCGCACATTTGTGAGATACTCGTCCGGAAGGCCCTCTGGGTTGCTCACCGTGCTACCGCACAGCGCGTCCGCAAAGGCGTACAGGCCCTTAAGGTCGCAGAGGTCTAGCGGCAGCGAGAGAACATGGATGCGCGCTACTGTGTCCTGCCAGCGATATGCGGCGGCGCCGCCGGCGCGGCTGCGCAGGACAGGGGCGGGTTTCTGCGCCGCGGCGGTGGCATAGGCGCGCAGGACGCGGATAGTCTCAAGTGATTTGTGGGCGCTGCGTGTGGTGGGAAGGAGGATCAGGTGCGAGGTGAGGGAGCGCGTGGCGAGGAACTCGTCAATGAGGCGCTGGGCTATGCCTAGGCCGATGCCACTGTTGTTGATTGAGAACACATTTTGTTAGCTTCTTCTTCTCTGCATGCTGAGGACATTGGCGCCTTGCTAGGAACTTGTGAGAACCGCAGAGTAATTGGGGAGCATTGGAGTTGGCAAAGGGCATATAATCATGAAGTGCTTGTGTAGCTTTGCGGCGTCAGGGGGGGACACTGTGACCAGACAAAAGCGAAAGCCAGAACCGAGAAAGGAGGGGCTTCGAACTACTGCATCAATTGGCATGTCTTTGGGCGACCTCTCCTTATGGCAATCCGCTCAAAACTGCAAATCGCATGGTATTTACCTGTTAGCTCCCGTAATGAGGACAAAGAGCTGGTCGTAGTCAGGCACCTTTTCCCACGGCGCGGGCCGCGCGACGGGAACGGCAGAGACCATGATCGCGGTTTCAGGGAGCTACTCGTACGGCCGAGTGAGGCTTGTAGTCTCTGTCGTCTGCGGTGAGCTTTTTTCTTTTTGTCTGTGATGGGAATAGGTCCGCAAGGGCAACGCGTCAGAGGCAAAAAGACAATCATGCATGATCTGGGGGTTGATGTGACCAATCTCAACTTTTTCAAGCAAGAGCTCCCTTTGGGTGGGGCCGGCACTGCCATCAAGGCAGACCTGCAACAGCTCACAATACATGTCCAATAGACAGCCTCCATATAGACAGTACTTTTATGGCTCGATTCGTTCAAATCATTTTCTTTTGTTACATCATTTAGGTTATAGCTATTGTACTTGTTTTCGCATCCTTCTTGATTCGTCTCAAATGCATGTACTTTAACTGTAGATGACTTGAGCCGGCACTGATTGCTTGCTCATACATTTTCGCCGTAGCCATCCACAGATCAGTCTCTGCTGCTCTGACCTTCCTTGATGGCAGCTAAGATTAGCTCCTTGGCTTTTTCGACACCCTCCTCCGTGCCGATAATTTCAATGGCCTCGTCTTTGGCCTGGTCGCGGGGCACCTGAATCTTGCAGTTGCTCTGCTCGCGGATCGAGTTCACCTTTGAACCGCCCTGGCCAATGACGAATCGGTATGTCCTGGGGTCAGGAAGCACCAGATAGCCCGTGGCATCCTGCTTCTTGGCCTGAGATAGCGCCTTTTCAATCAGTTCCTTGGCCTTGGCAATGTTCTCGGGGTTGCCACGAAGGACCCAGGGGATATCGCCTGTCTCGCCGTTGGCAGTCTTGACAATGTGCCATGAGTGAGCATCGGCAGTGGAGTCGGCATCGTCGGTAATCAGGGGCAGAGCGCCTCCAGTCACACGAGGCCCAGCCTCAGGCTTGCTGGGCAGCTTCTGGCCAGCGTGATCAACTGTGACCTGATGGTTATTGCGAAGCTGGCGGAAGAATTGGCCACCATTGGAGATGGTGTTGTGAAGGTTGCGAGGGATCTGAAGAGTCTCGCCTTCCTGCGACTTCAGCAGAGTAGCAATGTGCTCTTTGGCCTGAGACACCTTCTCGGCAAGTCCAGAGATCTTGACTCCAGTCTTGCCATCGCCCTGGCGAGGGACATCAATGGTGACACCGAGCTTGGTCTCCAGCTGGCGCTTGGCATCACCACCGCGCCCAATCAAGGTTCGGTGCTGGTCAATAGGCACGTCCATCACTTCGGTAATCTGGCTGTCGCGCTGGGCCACAATCTCTTCGATGCGCTTAATGATCTTGTCCACAATATCGGTGCGGCCTTCAACCTTGATAGTGTTGCCATCCGCCTCCTGCTTGGGGAACTGGATCGTTCTAGCCAAAGAACGTCGGTCGTCAGATCCGCCGGCGCCGATAACAATATCGCGTAGAGCAGAGCCTACAGTGTATTAGTAGAGTTTATTAGAAGGAGTAAGCAATCACACTTACCACTAGCTCCGATCAGAGCGCGATGATGCTTCTTGTCAACATCGACCGTCTTGACAACGGTGTCGTCGAAAACGGCACGCTTCTCCTCGAGTGCCTTCTTGGCCTTGGCTACCTGCGAGGCGGTGCCCTTGATCAGGATCTGAACCGTGTCGGTATCACGGTCAGCAGGAACGTCGATGCGAGCACCAGTCTGCTGGCGAAGCTCGTCAAGAGCAGCACCACCTTGTCCGATAAGAGATCCAACCTGCTTCTGCTGAAAGGGGACAGTAGCAGTGGCAGAGTGCTCCTCCAGGTACTTGTGAAGAGAAAAGATCTCGTCGCGAGCCTCGTCAGCACCCTTCTTAGGACCGCGGATGATGACCTCGTCAGGAGCCTGCTGGCGACGGCCCTTGCCAGCGTCGCTTGCGGCGTCGGTGTTGGACTGCTCATCGGAAGCGTTCTTCGCAGAGCGAGGGAAGAAGATGAGTACCTTGTAGCGGGTTTGAAGGCGATTGATTTGGGTACCCTGAGTACCAATGAGTTCACGGTGGTACTTCGGGTCAATCTTGAGGGTGTGCGTTGTTTCATCTGCGAGAGTGCGGCTCAAGTTCTGAATGTAGGTTCTGGCCGTCTCGGCCTTAGCCTTGGGACCCTTCAGCTCAACCTTGCCATCCTGGACCTGAATTTCAACATCGAAGCGGTCACGAAGCTCCTTGATGTTGCTGCCACCCTTGCCAATAAGATGGTTGGCGTACTTTTGAGGAAAGTCAAAAGACAAGGTAAAGCCGCGTTCCTTGTCATCCTGCTTCTCCTGCTCGATGAATGCAGTCGCCTTGGCGGCCAAGTTCTTGACGGCAGAGCTAGGACCACGCAGGGTAACGGTGGTGCCGACCTTTGTGACTCGGATGGGAATCTTGTCAGCAGCACGATTTTCCTGCTCCTTCTTAATGAAGCGGCGGAGTCTTTCGTGGTACTTGGCAGGAACATCAAGAGCAACGCTGTCGAGGCTCTCTTGCTGGCCGATCAGGTCGAGAATATGCTTCTGGGCGTCGGCAAGGCCCTTCTGGAAAGCAGCCACCTCAGCGTCGGAGGGCTTCACGCGAGGAGGCTGGTAGCCACTGTCGACACCGCTGGGGCCTTCGAAAACTAGCAGTACAGAGCCTTGAGGCTGTCCAGCCTCCGGAACAACCAGCTGCACGCCGTATTCCTTCTTGAGACGGGGAGAAACATCGGTGCGCAGGTGTTGGTGGAAGAAGGGATCAACATTGACGTTTCGCATTCTAGCGGGCGGGTGGCCGTTGATGATGCCAGTAATCTCAGACTGGGCACGAATAGCGTTCTTTCCATCTCGCGAGTAGAGTTCCCATGGCAAAGCGCCATCCTGAGAGAAGGGCGTGTTGATGTGGGTGCTGTAGAGCTTCTCGAGGCGGTCAATTTCACGGCGTTGGCGAAGGTAGCGAGTGATATTGGCGGCATGAACAGCAGCCCCGCTGGGAGCATTGCGGTGGAATCTAGACAGATCAATGTTGGACATTTGCATTCCCATAGCAAGATCCATGGCCTTTTCCACGCCAACTTGAACTTGGCCAGGTGGACCGACAATGGTTATCAGGTCGTCCTCGTCATCTGAAGGAAGGATGATGGCACAGCCAGTGTCGGAGAAGAATTCCTCCATGGGGACACCGCGGTTGCCGATAATGAACTGGTGGCGACCACGCTGGATGGACAGCTGCTCAAGTTCAAGCTGTTTGTGAAGCTCCGCAACCTTTCTCTCGAGCTCGGCGCGAACGTTTTGGACAGCGTTGCGATCACCAGCGAGCTGGATGTGCTCATCATCGGCGCCAGCGGGGTGGAAAATGGGCCGCTGGCCTGGAGCGGCCGGGACAGGTCCAGGTCCAGAGCTGAGGTGCTGGTGCGGGGGGACTCGAATCTGAACGCCATGCGCCTCCTCAAGAGCTTGAGCAAGAGAGTTGCCGGGTCCAGCCAGAAAAGGATAGAAAGCGGCAGGGATACCACGGACTTTGGTCTGGGAAGCAGCAGAGCGCTCATTGGCAATCTTCAGAATCTCATTGCGAGCGGAAGCAGCAGAAAGGGCATTGCCCTCAACCAGAACATTGATGGTGGCATCCTCGTCATCGTCGAGCTGTTGGGTATCGTCGGCCTTGGGAAGCTGAATCTTGGCGCCAGTCTTTTCTTGCAGAGCCTTGATGGTAGAGCCGCCCTTACCAATGATGTGTGCGCGAGCCGAATAGGGTATCGCAACTTCAATGACAGTCTACAACGCATATTAGCACATGTTGAGCAGCATCGCCATCTATCACTTACGCGTCGGCCAATCTGATTGACTAGATCCTTGAGTGCCTGCTGAGCAACATCCTGAGGACCAGTAGCATCGAACTTGACGCGGCCATTGCTAACAGTAGACATGGTAATATTGGCACGAGACTTGCGATTCAGGTCGCGAAGAATTTCGGAGATGGGTCTTTTGAGCTTGCTCCGCTCCATGATGAACTGGGGCTCGAGAGTGACAGACTCGACCTGGCGCCCGGGAATTGACATGACTGGAGGGGGGACCTGGCTAGTAGGACCGCCGGCGGCGGTGGCAGTAGGAGCGGGAGGAGTAGCATTCTGAGGAGCGCCATTGGAGCCGTTTTGCTTGGGAGCACCGTTCTTGGCGCTCCAGACAGGGACAACGTTGGAAGTCTTGCCCTTGGGGGCACCGAGCTCAGGGAAGACTTCATGAGACTGAGTATCGAGCGAAGACTGCTTCTCCTTTTGCTTGCCGGCGGTAGTAGAGCTCATGGGGGCGGCCCAAGAACCAGAGGCGTCGTTGGCGGGCTTGGGGAGGTCGACATCGGGGACGTCCTCGACGGTGACGGGGTGGGGGACGTGCTGGGCATGCTCCTGCATGAGCCTCTGGGCGGCAGAGAGCTCGCCAGAGCTTGCGGGTTCGACGGAGGCCATGATGAGGAGTCGAAGTCGGAACGAGCCAGAGAGGAGCGAGGCACTGTCTGAGGTAGGGGTCAGCTTGGATCCATGATGCATTGGGGTTTGCGGAGCCTGGCGAGGGCATGCAAGAATTCTGGAACGACGTAATTTACATACAAAGATCAGTGGCCGTTTATTGCAGGGAGAGGCGACCGACCAATGAGGACGGAGGTAGAATGCCGAAGAGACGAAGGTATTAGATGCGGTTGGTGGTAGTTTTGTGTGTGGAGTGCGCTGGGCGTCTAGAACATTGTGCAGACGCCAACAAAGAGCGATAACCGGTAACCAGAGGAATAGACCAGGAGACGAGGCGGATGCCAGGGGAATTGACGATGATGCCAGATGATGGCGAGGGGTGCAGCAGGAGAGCAGATGGTTTGAAGAGGGTGATGTGGAAGTTTCTCCAGCTTTCTCCACGTTGCGCTTGTCGAGTCGTCCAGAGTCTGGCTATCTGGGTCCGAGTGGACAGGGGCACGAGGGGTTGGACAGCTTTTGGCGGGCAGCGAGCCGGTGGTGGTTTTTTTTTTTTTGTCCTCCTCTCCCTTTTCCTGGGTATTTTCGCAGTCCTCAACTACCTACCTACCTATCCATACAACCGTTTTTAGCTTTGTAGTGGGAGCGCGTGGTGTGCATTGAGGGCGTTGATTATTAGGCAGGCCAGGTAGGTGAGGTTGGAGACTCTCCAGGCAACTTTTTGGCGGACTCAGGAGTGCAAAGGGGGGTCTGGCCACGCTGGAAAACTTGCAAAGTGACACTAATGGCAGAGCATTTGATGGCGATCCCGCGCATTGTCCCTCGACTTTTTCTTTAGCGGGTTGGCCGCAGCGCACAGGTGCTGAGTTCCTATTTATTTTAACTAACTACCTAGCCAATCGCCAGACTACGGTGGCTAGATGCAGTGGACTGACGGCTACTGTACGGTCTGTACCACAGACAAACATTGACGTGACACCATTCTTTTGTTCATTCTCTCTTATTCGTGCCGTTGTTGCACTGACTCTGATGGATCACTAGATTGTGTTGTCGGGGCCGATGCTTTCTGCTGCAAAGACACTGACCCTAGTGAATTACTCGATTGTGTTGCCGGAGCCGATGCTTTCTGCTGCAAAGACACTGGTTCTGTTGAATTACTGGATTGTGTTGCCGTAGCCGATGCTTTCTGCGGCAAAGACGATTTACTCGTATAGCCTAAGCGCCGTAAAGTTGATCGGATAGCGTATTTGCCGTATCGGCCCTTGAAAAGGTCTTCTGAGATCGCTGCAGAAGTCGCTTGACGCCCCTTCTTTGATCCCTTGATATACTCGATCATAAGGTCGACATCTTCGGCGAGCATTACTGGGGGCCGGCCAGAACGAGGTCGAATTTCGGCGTCTTTGGCAGCCACGCTGCGTTTGACTTGATTAATGGTCAAGCCTGTAATGCTAGCAATCCGAGACTGCGTGAAACCGGCATCGTAGTAAAGGGTACGTATCCGAGCACGATCGTCGCGAGTAACGTGCTTCGTGTGTGTGCCGGTGCGTGGCATAGTGACGGACTTTTTGCTATGTGTTGAAAGAGGGTTTGAGATGGTTTAAAAAAGTCCCGTAATCAAGTCGCCGTGAGGTGGGACTAATGAAAGGCTCAAAATAGCCCCTGAATTCTGGCTAGCTGATTTCCTAGTGGCTCCTCGTGACTTTGCAGGGGTGCAAATTTTCAGCCTTCAATCTGTAGACGTGACGATCCAGTTCGGGCTTTGCAAGGCGCATCCAGTGCCATTGGCCGCCGCCTGCGCAGATCTACCCTCCAGATTTGGCACAGTCTCTCGCCGAAATTGGAGATGGATATCGGAAACTAGCACGCGGGTATCGTGATTGAGCTGAAGAAGCGCAATTTTCCAACCTTTATAGCCATCAGGCTTCGTACTTTTCTAGGGTCTCGCACAAAAGGACAACAGCCAAGAGTCAGCGAAAACCGAAGCTCATGAAAATGATACCTGCTACTTCATTCAACATGTCTAGTCGAAGGTTTGGTTGGCTCATTAGTCTTATCGAGACCTGTCATTACTCCAAACCGGCTCGCCGTTGTCTTCAAATGGTTCATGTTTCATGACGCTACCCTGAATCAAAGCTGGGAATAGGACGGCATTATGCGCCAACTGGAATCTACCATCAATACCATTGTTCGTTTGCTGCTATTCAATTCATGTCCTGCTACGATAGACAGATCTATCCTGGCTGTTCATAGACGTCAAAACTTGTGTTGCTTAGCCTGTTGTCCAAGCGCAAGCTATATTGCTATGCTTTGTCCCGAGGGATTGCGGAACCCATTTTCTATTTACACCTCAGGTATCAGGGCTCCGGTGTAACTTGCCAATAAAGTAAAAGTTGCGAATATGCGCACGCAAAGCCGATCACGCAACGTGGCTCGATGTAGGCCCACGACCATGGCATGATACTGCTATTTAACCTGAGTATTGCGGCTTTCGATATTTTAGGATATGCGGCCAACAGCGCATCACAAATTACCATGCAAGGTGGAAATGACGCAAAGGAAGGAAGTACTAATAAGATGGCCATATAGCGGGAGCATGGGGTGCGTCAATCACACCTCAAACAAAGTAGTGGAGGTAGTTCTATAGGTTGATGCGTCTATCATGCATCCTGCATCATATTTATGCCGTCTCTTTTGGCCTCTACGTGTTCGAGTGCCGACTCGAGGCTCGGTCCGCGAGATGCAGCACAGTTACGATACGGCAAGCACAACATCAGACGAGGAATATTTTGCAACATGAGTCAGACATAGAAAATCGAAAATAACAGGGCTGTTTGGCTTCCATCCAACATGGCTGCAGTCGCGAGAGAGGGCCAGAAGAGTGGCACCTTGGCCCAAAGCCAAAACGCCTCGATTCGGCATTAATATCCACACAACAGGGGCGTTGACGGCGGGTAGAGACAAGCGACCTTTTGGCAGAACTGTGCATGAAACAATAGACGTGGGTAAAATTGATGCTGCCTGCAATTTCTCTGACGGCTAAGATGAAAGGCAGCCAGGGCGGCATAGCCGTGCGGCGTATTGTGCATGGGGACACAACAAGCACACACAATTCGTACATACATATGTCAGTGTGACCAGCCAGCAAGGCAGCCAGTGCCAGTGCCACATCAACCGCATGCATGCATCTGTAAATGATGGCGCCTGCTGCAAGATGCATGTTGGCGGGGCTGACGGCTTCATCTACCATGGGACTGTCGCAGGATTGAGTCAAAGTCCAGTCCGTGTTTCGCTTGTGTTTTCTGCGATCCCCGGGCTTTTTCTGGGAGTCTGAGACGCGTCTTGGGCAAGCAGACTATGCGACCTGGTCGGGGTTGGTGGATCAGCCGGTGGCAGATGAGGAGATGAGGGGAGTTAATAATGGAGAGGAGTTGCATGTTTCTGGGTGTCCTGTAATAGCTAAACCAGCAATATCAGTAAGAAGTCTGGGCCAATCGCAGACGATGCCTTTGCTGGTAAATAGTGATGAACAAGTTGGAAAAAAAAAGTCTTGACAATACCAGCCAGCAGCCACCACGGTCCACCAACACCACAACTAGTTATGGAGTCAACTCCGTAATAATACACCAACTCGGCAACTTTGGCAGTTGGTTACTGGCTCTGGCTTCATGATTGTGGAAGCCCGTGGGCGCAACCCACTCACACTTTGTTAACTTGCACTTTTGAGTTGGGTGATGACTGGACGGGGATACGTTGCATGAGTTTGGACGGACGGGGGAGGCTGTGGGCAGAAGGAATTGCATTTGCCGAGTCTTGCTCTGCTTCTTTCTCCCCGTGTCATCACGCGGAGCGTGGCTTGTCGTCGTGCATACTTAATAGTACATTTTCGTCTTTAGCTTTTCGCGTCTGTGTCGACCGCACCAAGCGTGACAATTGGCGCCTCAGGTACTCCGTAGCGGCAATGAGAAGCCCACCATGAGAAGCCCAGGCCTCAACCAACGCGGCGAGTACCCTAGCAGATGTCGACAGGAGAACGGGGCAGACATGGGCGTGTGCCTGGAGCCTGGAGATGTGTGTGCCAGCAGAGGAGCAAAGGACCATTGATTGCCAAGTAGATTCTCCCTCCCCACATTAGCGAGGGTCAGTGGGAATATTCGATAATAGTGTCGAAGTTGGGCGACGCAACGCTGCAGCTTCTGTGTCTTTTGTGAATTGTGCGCTCGGTTGGGTAATAATGAGGTCTCGCCGGAAGAGGACGAGGTTAGATCAGCTTGGTAGCCGCACCGCGTCGGGACGCGTGGGCATACGCTAAGACTACATCGCAGATTAAAGTCAATGTCGGCTTGTGTTGATGTGTAATGATCGTCTGCTTTGTGGCTGCCGCCGTCTTTTCTTTCTCGTCTAGCAGCGGCTGTACTGATTCAGATACCTGAAAGGTATCCATTGGTAGGTAGGTACAAAACAATAGGCCAGGCTGCCAGTTGTTTCCAGGACCGTGCTGTCAAAAGATTTCGCTGCCAATATCTGCCTCTGCCAACTGGCTTCAGTCCCTGCCGACTGGTTCCAAGTTCCAAGTTCCCTGTCAGGTACCTGGGAGCCCACCAAAATAACCCGACGCCCGCTAACCCATCAACTAAATAAAACCGCGCCGAGACCCCTGATACCATGGCAGGTACCTCTGTAACTTATAATTAGCCAGCAAAAATGCCTGCAATAGCTGTACTTGGGAGGTACCGCGAAGCACCATGAGCCTCCACCCAAAACACCACTAATAACATGCATATTGAACGACTAAAAAACCTCGTGAGAACTGCTGTACATTGCTGTCGTGTAGGTATTTACGTCCCGGTACAACCACCCTTTCATCCATCCTTCTAGTTCAACCATCCTTCGTCCACACACACACACCCTCACACACTCTTCAAATTGCGCTTCCACACTGTCATCCTCTAGGTCTTGTGCAGAAAGCTTACAGGCAAACAGATATGGTCCCGGTCTGAGTGAGACCTTGTCGCTCTACCTTCTCCAGACCGACACAGCTAGACACTGGGTGCCGCTTGCTCTCTTGCTTCTTTCCATCCCGCCATCTCTTACTTTTCCTGCCCCCCCAACATGGACAAGAATTCGTCCCACCTCAACGGTAGCTCGCACCGTCGTCGACTTGTCAAAAAGTCATCTCATCATTATTCGCGCTCTTCCTCAGGTCTCGATAGCGCCCACGACGCCCACTCCATCCACAGCAAACGCAGCTCCTCGAATAGCCTTCGGCGCACCCCCAGCGCTCCCCCACCCGTGCGACCAAACAACAACATCGCCGGCGCCTTTGCTGCCTCAACCTCGTCTTCTCCTCGCCATCCCTCCCAGGCTCAGCCCTCGAATGTGTCACCGCTGCTGCAGCAGGGTCACTTCGCCGCCGCCGCCGCAGCCGTCGCACCCTCGTCTTCTTCGTCACGCCTTGCGTACCGCAACAGTCCGTCCTTACCCTCTGAGCATCAGTTTCGCCAGCCCGCGCCCGCCCCAGATTCCGCGCCCACTCCCGGAAAGTCAGTTCCCGACGATTTCATCGGCGCTCCGTTTGACGGCGCCGCCATCCTGAGCAGCATCGACTCGGCATCCTACAGCCCTGCGCCCGTCGCTGCTCCTTCACCAGCTGCATCGACTGCCAGCACCGCCACTACCGCCATCACCACTCCACGCACATCCATCCCCGCCCAACCGCCAAAGTCGTCTTCAACAACCGCCGTCGTTGCTCGCGCCGCCGCACCCATATTCCGTGCCGTCAGTACCAACAAAACCAAACCCGCCCTTCGTTCCTCCAAAAGTGTCACGACCATGGATTCAGGCGTCACCCTCGTCGACAAGTCGGGCACCCGGGTCGAGTCACAGGCCGCCACGCCCAATAGGTATTCGGACGAGTCCGGCGGCATCCCCTCCAAACCGCCCACCGTCCGCAAGAAGTCGGGCTTTTCTGGTTTCGTCAACAGTCTAGTGGGCTCCCAGAAGAAGCCCATGATTTCCGCACCAGAGAATCCCATTCACGTCACCCATGTTGGCTACGACAGCTCTACTGGTCAATTTACGGTATGTCATCAACCCCGCTCATCAGACACACTCATTATAACGCAAGCTTTCTGACTTGACGCAAAGGGTCTGCCAAAGGAATGGCAACGCTTAATCAACGAAAGCGGCATTCCCGAAAAAGAGCGCCGCGAGAACCCCCAGACCATGGTCGATATTTTGCAATTCTATAAAGAGACCACAGAGAGGGCCCCCGAGGATCAGATTCTCGAAAAATTCGGCCACGCTGCCTCAGACAGATCACAATATGCCACTCCCAACCCTTCCAACCCAACATCGCCAACCATGTATCCGACCAACTACATGGGTACATAAACTTCACCCGCCCCCGCATCCACCAGTGGCTAATCCCGTCGCACAGGAAGCTTTGAGAACCCCCGAGCTGCGCCTCCAGTCCCTGCCAAGGGCCATGGCCTACCCTCGTCGAAAGACATGGTGCCCAGCCGACCTGCACCGCGCCCTCCCGTCAGCATGGGCAATCGAGCCGGCCCTCCAAACGCATATCCTACGCCAAAGGATTCTGGTGTCAGCATCATGAATAACGAGGCAGAAAGTGGGCCCATGCTACCCGAAGAGCATCGCTCTCGATCAAACTCGCGTGTTACAGGCCCTGCACCATTCTCACCGCAACAGACCGGCTCGCCTAGTTCTGCGCAACCTACCCTTTTCCAGCAACAGCAGATGATTCAGCAGCAGCATGAGCAGGCCATGGCCCAAGCTCAAGGAGCAATGTCTGGCCAGATCGGACGAGCTTCTAGCAAGAGACAGCCAACTCAAACCCCGTCCCCTATTGCTGCAGCATACGCCCCGCGCGAAGCCAACGGAGTCCGCCATCAGCCTGGCATAACTCCGAACCCACAGGCACGACCTCGTCATCGCTCCCGACAGAGCAACGGCCTCGACATTGTCGCGGCGTTACGACGCATTTGCACCGAGGGCGATCCCCGCGAAATCTTCCGGAGTCTGACCAAGATTGGTCAAGGTGCATCTGGTGGCGTCTACACTGGCTACGAGCGCAACACCAATCAATTGGTTGCCATCAAGCAAATGAATCTCGAACAACAACCCAAAAAGGATCTCATCATCAACGAAATCATTGTAATGAAAGAGAGCTCGCACCCCAACATTGTGAACTTTATCGACAGTTATCTCACTGGTGGTGAGCTCTGGGTGATTATGGAATTCATGGAGGGCGGCAGCTTGACAGATGTCGTGACCTTCAACATTATGACCGAGGGGCAAATTGCTTCAGTATGTCGCGAAACGCTCAAGGGCCTGCAACATCTGCATTCCAAGGGAGTAATTCACCGTGATATCAAGTCGGACAATATTTTGCTCTCCAACGAGGGTAATATCAAGCTGAGTAAGTCGAGTATTGCGACCGCCTCGATCATTGTTACTGACTCGAACACTCGAACAGCTGATTTCGGTTTCTGTGCCACCATTAACGAGGCGCAAAACAAGCGCACGACCATGGTCGGTACGCCTTACTGGATGGCTCCCGAGGTGGTCACTCGCAAAGAGTACGGCCGCAAGGTTGACATCTGGTCGCTCGGTATCATGGCCATCGAAATGATTGAGGGCGAGCCTCCGTACCTCACCGAGTCACCGCTCCGTGCGCTTTGGCTAATTGCAACCAACGGCACCCCACACATCAAGAACGAGAGCAATTTGTCAGATGTCTTTAGAGACTTCCTGTACTTTGCTCTCAAGGTGGACCCCGAGAAGAGAGCTTCAGCACATGATTTACTGAGAGTAAGTTTCCCTTGCAAGCTAGAAGCGATTACAGCTACTAACCACCATGACAGCATGATTTCATGAAGCTATGTGTCGATCTCGGACAACTGTCGCCTCTTGTTCAATCTGCACGAGAACAACGGGCTCACGAAAAGTTGCGCAAAGCGTGAAACAAGCCGATGTTTTGGATAAGTTAATCATACATATTTACTCAGCGGGTTTCCGAATGCATGGCGTGCTGGGCATGGAAGCGTTTGCGCGGTCTGGGTCATGAACTCTATTTACAACAAGGTGCTTGGATATAAGCGTACATCAGCCTCGGTTTTGCGCTGGCTGGAAGTTGTCCGCTTTTTTGTTTATATTGCGAACAATCTCTCGCCCCTTGCCTCTCGCTGAACGTGGGAGAGGTCATGGAATACGGGCGAGCTGGTGGGAATCGATTTTTTTTATTGGTGGGAGGCATTTAGCGACAACAAAAGATTCTTCTCTATTTTTAAGAGTATCGGCAACCGACAGGGAGATATACTCATTGCACGCCAGCTGAAAATAGCAAAGAGAGACGACGGGATGGATAAAATGTAACAAGCATCACACCAAGCGATATTGTACGAACAGAGCTAAAAACATGTATCAGCGCTTAATGAAACTCGAAAGTCCACGATGCCATTCTTCTGGTTGACACGAATCATTGCAACAATTTGAGTTAAGTAGCAGCAATGGTGTAGGTAGTCGTTGCCGCTTCTGCAAAGGTTATAACATTCGGAAGGCGCAGAGGTCGAGCATTCTCGAGCATAGACCAACAGTGCGCTGTTGAACCTCGAATGCATCGTTTCGGCATCATCATCATCGTCATCGTCATCATCATATCAGAATAACCCTTTGGTGTATATCTTTACTATTTCAATATGATTCCAATTCAACCGCTATCTCTCTTTCTCAGCATATTCATACTGCTGGCAGCTGGCGATGACACCTTTGACTGGAGCTCCATCACTCCCTCGGCAGACCTCGTCTACTCTCCGTGCTTTGGGCATTTCCAGTGCGCACGCCTTCTTTTGCCACTTGACTGGCTGAGTGAAAATGGAAGCGACACCACCTCCATTGCCATGATTAAGCTGCCCGCTGCCGTATCCCAAGACCACGCGACGTTTGGCGGTGCCATCTTTGTAAACCCAGGCGGGCCAGGAGGATCAGGCGTGCAATTTCTGCTCGATGGCGGAAGACTATTGCAGTCAATCGTGAATATTCCGAGACAAAAGTACTACGAGATGATCTCTTTTGATCCACGCGGCGTTGGTGCAAGTGAGCCGCGTGTCGACTGCTATCCGGCCAACAACGTTGCCCGCCGCGCCAAGATTCTGGAAACGACGGCCGCCGGCGCACTCAATCTGAGCTCGGCTTCATTTGACTTTGGCTACTTTACTGCGAGAGCTCTCGGAAAGCGTTGCGAGATGACGAACGCTCACATCTTGCCGTTTGTCAATACGGCAAGCGTAGCCAGAGATATGCTGGCCATGGTGGACAAGGTTGCAGAGCTGCGCAAGAAACAGACGATAAAGCAGCAAAAGACGGATGTACAGTCTGACATGCGCAAAGGTGACGTGAGTTCTGATAATGTACCCCGCCTACAGTACTATGGTCTCTCATACGGCACCATTCTTGGTAATTATTTCGCGTCGCTGTTCCCGGGACGCGTGGGCCGCATGGTCTTGGATGGTGTTGTTGATAGCGACGACTGGGCGAACGGCCCTGTCAGTACTGAATCATCATTCACTTACTTTGCTAGATGCTAATGAAGAAATCTTTAGGGGTGGTTGACAATGACTCAAGACGCAGATAAGATGATGGAACTCTTATTCGAAGGCTGCTTCACGGCCGGCCCCTGGGTTTGCCCGCTGCGTCAGCCAAGCGACAAGTCACCGACAGACATTAGCAATCGCACATGGTCTTGGATTAAAGCGCGTGATGCGGAACCCATTGAAGCCAAGACTCCAGACGGCTCTGCCGACGTGTTGTTGCGGTCCGCCGACATTCGCCATTTGATCATGAAGAGCCTCTACCATGCAGACTACCGCTTTGTCACTGTTGCCGGCCAGCTGGCTGAAGCAATGCGGGGCAACCCAGAGCCACTAGCAACATCAGTTCTCCGTATGTTTGGCATATCGGACCCAAGTGATGCGTGCACGATCGGCAACGATACCACATCTACGGCACCAACTGAGACTGCGGACCCCTACAATGCCGTGATTTGCACTAATGGTGTTGACGTCTCTGGCGAGAATTCCACATATTGGAAGAGCTACATGGAGCGTCAAGGCTCCATCTCAACTTTCTTCGGGGAACTTGTGGCCAGTGCTCGCCTTGCCTGCGCTGCTTGGCGTGTACGCCCTAACTGGTCCTTCAAAGGACCCTTCAAAACACCAACTGCTTCCAAGGATCCATTATCACCGGAGTCTAATCGTCCAGCAGCGCCGCTCCTATTTCTATCCAGCAAATGGGACCCAGTGACGCCCCTACGCAACGCACGCGCCATGGCGAGCAGGCATCCTGGAGCGGGAGTCCTCGTGGAGGGCTCGATGGGGCATTGTGCCCTTGGCGGGGGCTATGTGAGCAAATGCCTGAAGAGTGTAGTGTCAGAGTATTTTGACAAGGGTGTTGTACCCGAGAAAGAAGTCTCTTGCAAAGGTACCAAAAATCCTTGGTCTGATATCTTTCACCAGAATACTGCAGCGCAAGGCTTGATGCAAGAAAGAAATAGACATCACTTTCTTGGTGTCTAGTCTAGCTTCCAGAGTAATACAAAAGAATGACATTTTCTACTTGGCAGAATATATGCTGTGACGCCTGAAGATTGCTTTGAAGCAGTGCTGTACGTTGCTCGATGACGAGACTGATGAGGTAAGAATTGGCATACCCAGAAACCTCTTTACAACGGGAACTCGTATCACTCCGTACCATACTTGCATAGAGGTGAAATGGTATCATTCTCGCTTGTTAACTGGTCCAAAGAGGAGAGAAGGAAACAAATGCAGGGCAACAGGTTTGGCCAGTCATGATGCATTTGCTGCTGTCCAAAAACTGTAAAAAAAGAAGAAGAAAAAAAAAAAAGAAGAAACAATAACCGATAATCCCAGTAATCATGCTGAAAAGTAAAGTGAAAACAAAAAGGCTATCGACATAAATTTTGTCTTGTGGCCTCGCCCAGAGTCTATCAGGTCCTCATCTTGACATAATTGCTGGGAAATATACCATGTCTCGTGCCAACCATGCCGGTCCTGGTACTCTATTATTAGTCTCTTGTCGAGGAGGAACAACAGAAAGGAGAGAAAGAAACCAAAAATGAGGAAAAAATGGGGTTGGCAAAACATACCACCAGTCATTATCGCTCTCCGTCTTTTTCAATACGGTAATAACGTCGCCCTTTTTGAAGCCCAAGTCGCCGGGCTGGTCAGCGTCAAAGTTGTACAGGGCAATGGCCTCGTTCTTGTTGAGCGATGCGGCCGTGTTGAATGTTGGTTTCGGGGCCGAGGGGCGGCCGGGACCCTGCTTGCGGTCCGAGGGCGGGTTATCGTAGTAGCCGTTGCCGTTGCCGCCAGGGCCGTTGTCGTGGTTGGAAGCAAAGGTGGCGGCTCTGGAGGGTGCGTTGTGGCCGGCGGGACGGTCGTAGACGTCATCTTGCCAGGTGCTCGTGCGACGGGGCGAGCGGCCGTTGCTGTGGCTGTCGTTGCGGAAGCGGTCAAAGTCGTCGCGGCTGTCGTTGTAAATGGGAACATCGTTGTACATGGACTCGTCGCCGGCGCTTCCGCCGACGCGCATGCCGCTAAACACGCGCGAGTTGAGCACGTTCATGAGGGGTGCGGCCTGCGGAGGCGGGGAGACGGCGCCGGTGAGGAGCTGCTGGGCCGTGTACCGCGTGCCGTAGAGCTTCTCGTTGGCGTCGCGGCGCTCGATGATGGCGGAACCCTCGAGAGAGACGCCGGCAAAGAGTCCCTTTGTCTTGCTGTAGCTAAAGATGCCAGCGACGCTCTTGAGCGAGGCGGCGCCGGCAGCCTCGGCGTTGCGGCCGACAGGGCCGGCGGCCAATGAGACGTTGCCGCCGAGCGTCAGCGAGCCGGCTTGCGCAAAGGTTTTGACGGCGTTGGCGTCATTGAGGATGAATACGAAGTCGGTTAGCTCAAAGCCAATCTGCCCGCCAAAGCCGGCGCCGGCGGTGGCAATGGCGCTCGGGGCTGACCACGAGCCGTCGGGGAGGCGCGCGACAACGAGGCCGCTGCCGAAGCGGCCAGAGCCGAGGAAGCCGGCCTTGAGCACGGTGATGATGGCGAGGCCCTTGGCGTTGGCGAGAATCGACGGTGGTATCACCTTTTCCGGGCCAAACGCTTGCCGCGGGTTGATGAATGAGGTGAGAATCTTGCCGCATTTCTTGCACTCGGCTGGTGTGAAGAAGAAAAAGATGGCGAGGTTAGCATGAAAGGACTCGTGTCATTAATCGGTCAGGGCTTTTTGCGCGCTCTTGGGCAACGATGGCCGGCATCGGGATATTGCACGCGCGCGCGCGGACGACAGCTTGCAAGGTAGGTAGGCAGGTAGGTAGCTACTTACATTGCATGGACGAGGGGAGGGGATTGTTGAGGCCCATTTTCGTAGGTTATGTGATGAGGATAGGAGAAGACGATTAAGTCGTTGAAGAGGGGATTCAGGCCGTTGAACAAGTAAAGAACGTTCCGAAAAAAAAAAGGCCGCCTGATTTTGCGTCGTCTCTTGATTATTTGCGGAGGCGGGGTGTAGGTAGTAGTACGGCTGGGCGTGGTGAATGGCTGGCTTGGGTTAAGGTTTGCGCGGCAGTCGCCACCTGTGCGTGATTGAGCGTTCGAGTTGGTGTTGGCCGCGACAAAAAAAAAGATCGAGAAACACAGAGATTTGAACTGGAAGATGAAGTCGCAGAGAAGGGATCTAGACAGTGAAATTCTAAGGAAAACGAGAACCAGTTGTGGTTGTGGTGGGATGAAAAGAATGGGGTGGTGGTGGCCACACACAACTATGTCATTGAGGTGGTGCCCAGCCCCGCCACGCTGGGCTGGGGCCGCGTGGATTGTGGCGGTGCGTCATGTTATGGCAAAGCCCAAGTCCGCAATGTCTGCAAGCCTTGGTAGGCTTCTTTATTCCTAGGTAGGACCCAGCTCTGACCAGAAGCTGCTGTTTACCGTCCGAGATAGCGAACATCTTGCCCTTGATTTGTGACGTTTTCGTCGACTTGTGGCTAAAGTACCTGTTCGTAAGGTAGGCAGTTGGTTGCTAGCTCACTGCCACGCCCACTTTGTTCAACCAGACAAGCCCTGGCGCGTGTAGTGTGGCTTGTGTCCTGGCTTGCCAGCGTCACATTCAAGTGGCTTGTAATACGTTTCGGCATTGCTTCATGCAACCACTCTTCCCTACCATTTACCGACCTTTTTTTTTTTCACCCAAAGACGCCATCTACCTGCAGCGATCCAGACGTCAGACCGATTGATCAGCGTCACAAAGCGCAAAATCTGCATCATCTTTTTTTCCTGCAACCCGGCTGCAATCATCCATCAAAGCAGTTGAGCCGCCGAATTGGGAGGCCATCACCGCCCCCTTACTACTCTCTTACTCCGTTTCACCTCGGCTGCGAGACTACCAGCGCGCCGCATCGCCCACGACAACTATACACACACGTACATACCACCGCCACTGCCGCCATGTCCGAGTCTTACGAGCGCGAGCGCCAAAACAACTCCCGCCTGGACGAGCTGTCCGCTAAGGTGTCGGCCCTGCGTGGCGTCACCGTTGACATTTACGACAATGCGCGGGCGCAAGACGTCATTGACAACACGGTACGCTTCGATTCCCTCTTGCTTTATTTTCGTTTTGTCTTTTTTCCCCACTCTCTCTTATCTTTTGTCCTGTCCCGAAAGATCCTTGCTAACGTCGTCTCTTTTCTTCCAGTCGGAGACCTTTTCCTCCATGACGACGCAGATGCGAGGCTCCGCCGGCCGCCTTACGCGCATGGCCGCCTCGGGCAACAAGGTCGCTATACTGAAGCTGTCTGGCATCCTGATTGGCGTCTTCATCTTTTTATACTATGCCGCACGTGTGTTTTTCTAAGAAAACCAAACGAGGAAATGTCGGTGGCACAGGTTGCCTAAAAGAGGCAATGAGGCGAGAACTTCTACAGGCGTTTAACGGATGACGTGTCAGTTTGTACTCCCGGACACCACAGAAATGTGGTATCGGGGAAGGACGTCAAATCGGGAGAGTCCGGATATATGCAAGGGCATTGGGATGGCGTTGATACTTTCCTCTTGGTTCTCGAGATTCTTGGTTGAATAGGTAACAGCAGTCTTTTGAATTCAAATCAATATTTACAATTTCACCTAGTAACTCTTTCATTTTAACCCAGTCCACGGCGTTGCGACATCTCTAGTTTTTTTCGGCTTCTTTGTTATTTTCATAGCTATGAAGATTGATACTGTGAAGGATCTTGTTTCTAAAACACACGCAAACGCCCCAGTATACATGCTTGCCGACTCCCATATGCTCTCCATGTTTTCCATCCCTTTTGAACCGAATATGCAAACCGACCTGTTGTATAAAACCAAACGGCCTGACCACCAGTAGAAAAGAGCGACCCGCATCAGCGTCTTTCCCTAACGCTACTGCCAAACGTTGGAAAAGAGATCGTCGTCGCCGCCAAAGCCACCGCCAGGCTTGGGCGCGGCCGAAGTAGTCGTAGTCGTCTGGCCGCCCTGGCCGGTGCTGCTCGCCCACCCGCCAAACTCCTCGTCGGCCGCCACCTTGGGCGCGACGCTGAAGCCGCCGCCGGCACCGGGCACAATCGGCGTGTTGGCAAAGGCGCTGCCCGAGCTGCCCCAGCCCATGTCGTTGCTGACGGCGGGCTTGCTGACGGCGGGTTGAGGAGCGGCGGCGGCGGCGGCGGCGGCGGCTGGTGGGCTCGACGCCGCGGGTGTAGCCCACTCGTTGCCGCCCCAGGCATCGAGGCCAGAGAGCCCCGCGGAACTAAAACCACCAGTGTTTTGGTTGGGAACTGTGGCAGAGGTAGAAGCAGGCTTGTTCTGCGGGGTCGAGAGGTTGAAGACGGAGTTTGTGGGCGGGGGCTGGTGAGCAGGAGGAGAGACGGGAGGCGGCGATGACTGCGACACGGGGGCCGATAGGTCAAATAGGTCGCCCATGGACGAGGACGAGGCTGCTGCGGGCTTCGAAGGGGCGGGAGCGGTAGCCACGGGGCTGGCAAAATCACCGAAGCCGCCGCTGAAGGAAGCTGCGAATTGGTTATTGTTGTTGGTGTTGCCGAAGCCGTGGTTAGTGGCGGGCTGCGGCGCGGGCTTGCTGTCGAAGAAGCTGCCGCCACTCAGACCGCCAAAATTGCTGCTGCTATTGTTGGAGGCGTGCTGCGAAGGGCGGTTACCCATGCCGCTACCCAGGCCGGCAAAGGGGTCGGCAGCCGGCGGCTTCGGGCTCGTCGGGCTGGAGAGGCTCAGGCCACCAAAGGCGTCCGAGAAGCCGCCCTGCGACGGCTGCTGCTGGCCCATTTGCGGCGAGCCCCAACCTCCCTGCTGGCTGCTCTGCTGCTGTTGCGGCTGCTGTTGCGGCTGCGGCTGCGGTTTAGGCGCCGTAGCGTATAGCGAGAGAATAGACTGCTTCAGATCCGGCCGCGACTGCGTCTGCGTCGCCGGCGTGCTCGACGGACGCGGTGGCGCCGAGCTCTCCCCGAGGAAATCGAGCCCTAGCAGAGAGTCCCTCGTCGTCGTCGTTGTCGTCTTGGGCGGAGCCGGAGCGGCCTTGGCAGCCACCGCCGCGCGAGGCGCAGGAGCGGCACCCGCGCCCCCAATCAAGTCGCCGACCGACGCCTTGCGCGCCGTCTCCTTCTTTTCCATCACCTGCTTCTCCTTGACGATGCTGAGCGGAACATCGTCGTCGCCGTCAGCGTCTAGCGAGGCCGGGTCGGGCATCGGCCCGTCCATGACCCAGCGCTTGAGCTCGTACTTTGTGCGGATGAAATTCTCAATCTTGGCCTCGGACGGCGCGTGGCCTGCCGCCAGCTTGGCCTCCCAGTACTTGTTGGCGCGCGCGTTGCCCCAGCGGAGCACGCTCTGCAGCTGCTCGTCTGTCCACGAATCGAGGTCGACCGACTTGACGCGGGAAATGTGCGTGCCCATGCCCCGGTGGATGCCGGAGCAGCGGATGCAGATAAAGACGCCGAGATTCCAGCTCGCCCATCGTGGGTCTGTATGCGGGGGAGGAAAGCACATTGGCAAGTTAGCATGGGGTGCTTCTTTTGTGTATTCATGGCGTATGCTGTGTAGTCCAATGGGCATGTAATGACTCGGGAATGGTCAACATACGCTTGTTCTTCTTGCAGTCGGAGCAGATCTTGTTAGCCTCGAGCTTCAGCAGGTTCTTGATCGTCGCTTGGTTCTGCGCCGCCCGCTCGGCGGCGGGGTTGGGCGCACGTCTCGACATCTTTGGCTATCGTGGTGCGGCGGGAATAGGTTCAGGTTGCGTTTGGATAGAATGCGAAAATGGTTGTTATATGTATCGTAAACGGTGCGGAGCCTGGCTAAACCGTTGCCTAAGACGAATGCTGCATATGTTTGGTCTGCTCCCCCCTTGAATTATCTCGACTGCCTGGCCTTGAGACACATCCCACCGCTAGTAAATTAGCCACAACGAGCCAAGTTGCCCCAGCGCTGTGGCGCATGAGTGGCTGAACATTCAAGCCCCACTGTCTGCGAGCCTACTGGTTATTCCAGCCCTCGGATTCCATGTGGCGTAGGGTTGGTAGTTAGAGTACAGATTTATCTACTTATCTTCTATTCCCGAACACATCTGAATAACTTATCTGGGGAGATGCACAACGCAGGTCTATCTTCTCTTTCGATTTGGAAACTTGTGGTGAGGTCATTGAAGTGCTGAGATCACGGCTCCAGTGGCGACATCACTGTGGGCCTTTCCGTGGCTGAAGCTGATGGCTCTCCGGGATTTAGACAATTGATTCCTCAACCGGTCGGAGCTGTGATTTGTCACTCGAGTGTATATAAGACACCGTTGAATCCTACATCTCCATTCCCGCTGTTAAGCCTCTTCACCATCAATTCTCTTCTCCATGAGATTTAGACCATTCCTCACGACATTTGTCCAGACCATAACTCACTTTAGATTCCGTACCCCGCCACCGCGAGCTGGGCTGAGCGCGTTTCATCAACCAGCCCCATTGCGCTCCATGTCCGGTATCCCATTCTTCGGAGCCCTGTTCGGATCGTCATCTTCCAAGTCCTCCGACATGTCGTATCCCGACAAGCGAACCAATGACGAGTGGCGAGCCGTGCTGAACAAGGGTACGTCGTGTCTTGTCCCCATCTCACTCATCTTATACTCACCCGCCCGCAACAGAGCAATTCCGCATCCTGCGCGAAAAAGGCACGGAGCGTCCCGGTACCGGCAAGTATGACAAGCACAGTCCGGACGCCGGCGTCTACTCCTGCGCCGGCTGCGACGCGCCTCTCTACAAGGCCAACCACAAATTCCAGTCGGGCTGCGGCTGGCCGGCCTACTACGACAGCATCCCCGGCGCCGTCACGCGCCACGAGGATCGCACGCTCGGCATGCTGCGAACCGAGATTGTCTGCTCCAATTGCGGCGGCCACCTCGGCCACGTCTTCAAGGGCGAGGGCTACGCGACCCCGACAGACGAGCGCCACTGCGTCAACAGCGTCAGCCTCAACTTTACAGAGGACGAGAACAAGGTCAAGGAGAGCAAGGCCTGAAAACGGATCGGAGAAGACAAGTCGAGTGTATTATCATGTATATCGTGTGATTGACGTTGAGAGATGGTAGAAGCGAGGCGTTGTGACGACAGCAATGGTTGGGTAGCAGGCGTGGCTCGGAGCAAGTTGTGAATTTTGTGTTTTTTTTTTTTTGGAATGGCGACATCGTACCATAGTTCTTATTCAGGTAGCCGCAAATACAACTGCTGCAATCTCAACGAGCAAGCTGATGCCCTTCACAGGATTCATAGAAGATATCCACGATATTTGGCTGACCTGCACGGGCATGGTTTGTCGGGCTTTCAACATAACTTTGATATCTTGAATTGCTATTCCTGAAAGAAGCCTAAAGATACAGAAACCGCTTGAGACTCAACTAGACTCGAAGAGGAGCCATGGGTTGTTTGTCCCGCTTAGTTTAGTAAACCTTCAAGATAAAATTCCACCAAACACTGAGATCCAATTTGCACCCACATCAATAACAATTGGCAGAAAGAGTAAAAGCCTGGCAAGTTGGCGGGAATCAGCGAGTCAGCTAGGTCTTGGCTGTAGTATGGGTGACGAGGTACCCGTAAGAACCCAACCACTCTTGCTGTATCCTCAGTCGCTATCCCCTCGATATGCTTTTCCCCAAACAATAAACAGGAATCCTCAGTAGAGCAAATAACAATTTGTAGAAAGAAGAATCCACCAAACACTGGAAATGAATTCTCGTCAAACAAAACAACCACAAAATAACGACCACCTCCCGAATCATGGATGCACTGCGAGAGTAGATAATTCAGTTGTTTTCGCCATGCCTTGGCTTATGCCATGATCGCTTGATCGCTGATAAAGCCCGGCGACACCCTTGAAAAGCTTCTAGTGCGGTACGCAATCCATCAATGCAGCCAACTCAGTGTTGGCATCATCGGCAGGCTGCAGGCGGATCTGCCATGTCATCTCCTTGTAACTGCATTCACCCTCAACCACCCTGGTGAAGCCCAGGGCACGAAATCGTCCCGACGCCTCGCTGCAGGCTTTCTTGATGTTGCGCCCAATCTCATTATGCATTTCTCGGTCCATGGTTCTGTCGTTCGGCACAAGATGGCGATACTTGACGCGGCCGGTTGTTTGGTCAAACTTGGTGCCCTTGGGCTTGCTTCTGACAATTTCGCCATTGCCCATTATGACGTACTTCGTCTTGCTAACAAAGTAGCTCCAGACGACGATGCCAGCGCCTTTGGCCTCGCCCCAAGTGAGACTTAGGTCGGCCTGGTCCTCGGGCTGGCGCCATATGGCCCGGAAGAGGCGATGTGTATCGTTGCTAAAGAGGACTTGGATCCTGGAGAGTTGCTGGATAGGAAGAAAGTCGCACACGCCGTTCTCGGGAAGGACCCATTCGTCTGTATCTTCAATGCTCTGCGTATTGGCGACTGGCTGGTCATCATTTGGGACGGCAAGCTCAGAACCAGAGCTCCCTGTCCCGGAGACGAGATGATCCGTAGAGAGAAGTGGTGCAACCCTTTCAAAGAAAGCCATTGTTGATGGTTGAGCTTTGAGCCAATTCGCGATGAATGATGTATTTGTAATTGGTGCAGAGGCAGATCGTAAGCCTTGAACGAAATAGTTCTGGGTAAGAGGAGATATGAAGACAACTTATTTCGTATGCAACGATTGTATGCCGGAGTGAATGTGTGGGGAGAAGGGATTAGAGAATCAGATGAAGGTCGGAGCAGACGGTCTATTTATACATCAACTCTGACTATCCGGCCGAACAGTGCTGCGAGTGACGGTATTGGATACTTTTGAGTAAGAAAGCAAGTCTCTACTCGGAAAGGTTGTCAAAGCCACCAAAGCATAATGAACGATAAACAGTGATATTCAGAGGCGGAAGTCCCAGTTCAATACACCTGGGAAAGAGAGACTGGCTTTTGTGGCGTCCCAGCCTCTGCAGCCACTGAACTGTTTTGTACCAGTAACGAAGAAATTCGATTGCGAAACAGGACATTTACACGAAAATGAGCCAGTCTCGACTAAAGTGATCACACCCGCATCGGCGTGGCTCAGATACGCGGATGAACTCGGGGACTGTCCCTTCTGCTGAAACTTTAGCAACTCAAGATTTCTTGCAAGATAAGTTACTGTACAAGCTAAGATTTGATAGTTTGCAGAAAGTCTCTATATCATCTGTCCGGCATGGAAAGGAACAACATTGTCTAGCTCTGCCAATTTACCATGCCAAAAGTCAAATCGAGTATTGTATAGATTGTCCACATAGTATTGAGCGATCTCGAACCTGTTTGCGCCGTAAGAAAGATCTGCTTCGTACTGATCTATTATTTGCCAGGACATCTTCTTCAAGGCGTCGAGAACTGCAGATTCCGTGATTAGGAGTGTAGAATTAGTTTCAGCCTCGGCTACCTGCGAACTCCCTTTGTAAATATTGGCTTCATGACTAGGACATTCGACTTCTTTTTTTGAACCAGTCTTGTTTTCTGGCGAGCGTGAGCCTGCTTCTGCCAAGTCCGCGGCGTTATCGGGCATTGAACTCGAGGAACCCGCTGTACCTTTCGTGTTGGTAGACTTGGTAGACTTGGTAGGCTTCCGTTTTTCGATCGGCTTGAGACATATTGGTGCTGATGTGGCGCTCGTGGCTTGCTTTCTAGATTGATTCTTCTTCGCACGGCTCTCGCTTGCACAGGCCACCTTCTCTGGTGGCCGCTTTTCCTTTCGGTTTGCGCAAGCCGAAGGTTTTGGTGATATTGTCTTTGCAGATAGTTTCGAAGTGGGAGAAAGGATATTGCTGGCTGGTTTTACTGGTAACATTTTCAGCGCTGGTCTCTTTGTATCTTCTCTGGTCACAGTTTTATGGCGGCTTCTCGATTGAACCTTGGTTCGTGGCGGCTTCTGAGGCTGAATTTTTGTAGTCGCCCTCACTTCTGTGACTTTCTTGTTCAATTTTTCTTTCTTGGCTGGTTGACCAATAACCGCGTCGCTTCCGGTTTCTGTTTCCGAATTCAAACTGTCGAGGACTGTGCGCTCGACGGCGGGCTTCTCAGCCGCGTTGATGTCGCTTGCTTTACGCTTTGTCTGCACGAATGGTAGCCTTCGCACCTGAGGCATATATTGTCGGAAGTCAGAGGCTTTCTTCAAAGAATCGTCGTCAAGCTGCTCAACAGCAAGCCTGTTTCTTAAAGTGTCATCATTGCTGTGCATTGTAAGGGGCGGGTCCGTCCTAGAATGCGGTATTGCTGAAGTTCCTTTTGACCGAGTATGCAAGGGCGAAGCAATTTTGCTAGCACCCGTTTGACTAGCATCCAACAGAGAATTGCTTCTCGAGTGATAATCATGGGCCGGAGAGGCTGCGCTCACTCTAGTGGCAGCGAAGTGGCTGTATGGATTGAGATCAACGGCATATTGCGACGCCACGGTCGATGGAATTGAGCTGCTAAAATTTTGAGTTGGGACCGACTCTGTCCTTAGTACCAAATTACTCGCAGAAGGATCGGTGTGGCTACGACTGGCGACCGGGTTCTGGGAGAAAACCTCCGGCTGGCTCATGGACGGGAAAGTTGTTAGTGATGATAGTCTTATAGGAGCGAGATTTTCAGAGCTTGGGCGGAGTATCGGATCGATGAAGCTAAGAGAAGGTCGGAGATTGCCATTGACAGCGAACCCAGCTCTTTCGAGAACGTAGACGGAGACGTGGAAGTCCCTGGCATTTTCGAAGTGCGCGGTGACTGTGCAGTCCGGGCTGGGGACTTTTACGCATACGATTGATGCTGATGGTTCGGCTGATATCACATGAGATGCAATGCTTGCATTCCGCAGAACATCAGTCAATCGGATGGAGATCTACCTCGCGTTAGTAGAAGAGCCGTACGCAGTCGCACTACTTACTAGGAGCTTGCTGTCTTTATGAATTACCAGAACAAGAGGCTCGCGAATGAAAGAGCTGGATTGCTGTCGCTGTAGTGAGAAAGTCAGTTGTGCTGCATTGTAATTTGGTATGAACACCTTATGGGAAGGGCCAGTCGTCAGCTCTAGTCGTTTCAGGGCTGCGTGAGAGACTGGGCAAGCTTGATGCGCCATTGTCCAGCGTCGATTTAATATGAACAAGTCGCCTAACACGACAGAAAATCTGATCAAATTTGAGTAGAAATGGTCATTCTAGAAACATTTTCTGTTTTCGTCATGACAAACGCCCGCAGGTTTAATCGTGGCTCTTGCCCATGAAGCGGAACCGCTGCCGATTGGCTGTGGGTCACGTGTAGCAAGGCGGGATCTGGCGTCCAGGTTTTGTCGCGGTCGCGCAGCATACACGTTCCCCTGCCAATTGCTAGCTACCCAGCAGTTATGCGCCAGTCAAGTGTACGGCGTGCAACTTCTACATCCTGACCTCGACCAATCGCAATCAGCGCGCGAAGCACGCATAACATTTCGACTTCCAACGGCGAAGCAGTGGTAGCTCACAGCGCATCGATTCCAGACTGCCCGTCAACGACTTGCGCTCCCAATCGACCATTCGTAGATCTTGGAAGCTCCCTGCTGAAGCGGTCGCCGCCATGACGACTTCCGGCGATGAGGTAACGCCTCATACCATCGATCGTACGCCAGAATATGAAGAGTTTATGGAGAAGCTGAAGGAATTTCATAACAACCGTGGCACAGTCCTCGACCCGGAGCCAAAAGTTGGCTTAATTCATCTCGATCTCTTCAAGGTCTTCAATCACATTGTCGCCAGCGGCGGTTATGACAAAGTCTCGGAAGAAAAATTGGCCTGGCGTCGCATGGCTGCTGAACTAGGTCTCTTCTCCAACAACGAAGCGTCGACGGCTTTTGCGCTGAAGGAAAAATTCTACAAGAACTTGGCGGCCTACGAGATCAAGACGGTCTACGGCAAAGAGCCTCCACCGAAAGATATTCTCGAGGATGTTACTGCCAAAGGCGCTGGTCTCTTGACGAGAACTCGAGAAAACTTTAGAGGCAAAAGAGATAGCAACGTGGCCGGCAATGATTCGGCTGCCTCTGGGGACGATGGGACTCCTGTGCGCGAACGGCCCGCTACTGATGTCGTCTCGAGTGCTAGAGCCTCTCGCGGATTGAGGGAAGCCCCCGCACAGCGTGTCATCTTCCAGCCCGACACTGGTCCAAGCAGAATCACACGACAAACTACCACCCAACACTCTTCGACCAGCTCGCCCCAAGTTCAAGGACATCCTGGCATGCAAGGACCACCAGGCATGCAAGCGCGCGGCCCGTCCATCGCGCACCATCCCCCCAAACCTGAGAACACGTCGACCTCAGTAACGGCATATCAGCCCCGGCACATAAAGCCTCTGCAGTTGCGACCTGTTGCGACACCCAGCAATGCACCAAGCGAGTTTCCTAGGACGCGGTTATCTTATCGGGCTGCACCCGAACCTCGCCAACCCATGCTTCCTGGAACTGGTTTTGATGGTCCGAATATTTACACGCGCTGTCTCAATGCTCTTCGATCACGAATCCCCAACGAACAGTCCTTTGCGCTAAATCATCTGGTCAAGATTTCTTTTGAGCGTGGCGACAAGTACAAATTTGACTCCTTCCCTGGCCTGGCCGAGGGCCTCGTCGAGAAAGCTCTAGAGGTTGGGGAGCTTTTCTACCACATCAAGTGGAAAGTCTCATGGAATCCTGATGAGGATTCTTCTGAGCTTGGTGTCTTGGATGGCAATTATGGAACCCCGGACATTCTGGACAGAATCGGAAACCTTGTCGAGAAGAACACGCCTGATATTCTCCAGCCGGGAGAGTACTTTGACAAAATGGTCCTCATTACTGAGGCCATTTTGACGATACGCAACATGGTCACCTTGCCCGAGAATGCACATAACATGTCCGAGTTTCCTCCAGTCAAGGATCTGATCTGCATTGTTTTGCATTTGCCTGAGAAGGACTCGCTGGTAGAGATCAAGCACATGGTCCTCGACATTGCTGAGCAAATCACGTCCTTCATGGTTTTAGACTCGGACGACCCCTTGTACAGGACGCTCCTTGCGCAGATGACCTCGGATGATCGCGGCACCATTTTGAGCGCCTTGCGAGCGCTGGGCCGAATTTCTATGAACCTAGAAGCCACGAATCAGCTTAACGAAGTGCCTGGAGATATCCTGCAGCGCATCACGAGCTGGCTTCTATTGAACGATGATGAACTTATTGATGCCTGTCTAGACTTTTTGTATCAGTATACAGCTGTTGTCTCCAATCTGGACAATTTGGTGCGTTCGACGCATCCGGAAGGCCTCGTCGACCAACTCGTGCGTCTTTTGGCCCATGGTGCCCGCAAGGTCCAATACGATCTCGTTTTGGCACCAGAGCAGCGATTGCCGTCTCGCGATGAAGTTGCACCCATGCCTGAAGATCTCTTGCAGGATATGTTGAAGCTGGAAGAGCCCGATAGGGTGCATCAATGGGTCAAGTCATTCTTTGACGAGGATGGCTCTTCGTTTGTCACCCAGCTGGCTGCCTGGCAAGCGTACCAGGCTGCGTTTTCGGCACCTCTGAAGGACATGCAGCAGCAGATGATCACACCAGCCGACTTTATCAGAAACAGTACTGCAGTCTACAAGGGCTCCAACGCGCAAGTGTTGCGCGAAAATGGAGATGGCCAACAAAAATTCATCATCCATGGCATTCGTGCCCGGCCTAATCCGTTGACCCTGGACGGCAAAGAATACGGACGCTGTCTCTGGGCAGCTGACCCGACACGCCGCAACGCAAAGTGCGGTCACTTTTTCCTCAGAGCGGAACAGATGTGGCACCACATCCTGACGACACATCTAGGGGCTATCACCAACGAAGATGCCAAGTTTGAAGATTTCGAAAAGCCATTCATTTGTACTTGGGGTGAGTGCAACAAGCATACAAAGCCAACGAAGATGCATCTTCGCGACTTTGCACGCCACATTACAACTCACATCTCGGCTGTTATCCCCGGCCATGCTGGTGCCAATCCTGATGGCGTCGCGGCCCCTAAGAAGTGGATCGTGCCTGCCAAGACGATGCCGGTGACTTTTGAAGAGACTGTGACGGTGCGTGACGAGCGCAACCCGCAGGCACCACCGCAGGCGGCCGGTATCCCGCTGAGCGCGGTGCTGGTGCTCCGCAATATTGCGCGCAACATTGTCAAGACGGAGGCCGAGGAGGAGCTGGTTAAGCTGCAGCGCGGCACAGATGAGAAGGGGGGTTGGAATGAGCGCTTGTTCCGCGCCTCGACTCCGCGTCTGTATGAGCTTTTGGCCGAGAACAGACCGATGGTGAGCTGCCCAATGCCAAGCAGACGTTTTACCGGATCTCATGCTAACAACTTTCCACAGAGTCCGTACATTGCTTCACTTCTCGACCTAGTTCAGGTTGAAGTTGAAGCTCGCCATGACGATGATGACGATGACTAAGCTCATTATGGACATGCTGCTTGCTGGAAACTTCAAGGGTGATAAAAAAAACGAGAATAGAGAAACTGTCAACGGCGTATTTGGAGCCCGGTGCGTATTTGGGATTTATTTAATGGCCATCTTCAGTTTTGTGGTTTAGCTGCCTGCGCGCTGATGCAGGAGAGGAGATGTAGTGAGCGAGGTCTTTTTTTATTTGCTGGTCATGTTGAATAAGTGAGCCGGGCTTTGTAGGAGTATACCAATTGGTGCTTTCGACATTTCTTTATAGCCCGACCGAGGGTGAAGGTGTGACTGTAACGTGCGCTGTCTAAACTTTGACCTTGGGCACGTGGTAGACAGTAGCAGCCGGCAAGATGACCATCGACCGATGGGATGCGGATTGATGGTGAACTTGAAGTTGAATCACGTCGTTACTGCATAAGTAAATCTAGTGTGGTATATTAGGCATTGATGTCCATTGTATATACGACTCAATGTACGAATCTATCGCCTGTGCCGCAGGCCTCCCTCCCCTGGCGCATGGCCATCTCTCATCCTCATGAAATCTTGCGAGTCTATAGCTCTTTGTCTTATTTCCTCCTCTCATTTTGACCGCAGTAAATCAGTGAAACAAAATAGAACCAGTGTAGTCTTTCCCAAACTCCAGGACTCAGCGAGAGAGCGATGAAACTAAAATCAAATGAAAGAAGAAAAGGAACGCAGAAATGCAGTGTGCGCATGACTAATGCATAGAACATGCTATGTATGCGTCTCTCATCCCATTAAAAGCTGTGAGTCGAGTAAAGTGTGGGTAACTTCCATCGAGGTATACCATGAGAGAAGCGCGTAAATGAGTTATAAGTCGCAGAAAAGCGTTCACCAAAGTGAGTATCCGCCGTCAATGAGGCAATCGGCACCTTTGAAAATGTTAGAAACCATCTCAAGAATATGCCCGATTCATATTGGGGAGTGTTTGGAGTTGTGGAGTTGGAGATGAGGATCGTAACGATGATGATGCAGGGGATAGACTTACCAGTCATGAAGCTAGAAGAGTCGGAGGCGAGGAAGACGCAGAGGCCATTGAGCTCGTCGACGTTGCCGAGGCGGTTCTGGGGAGTGAGGCCGCGCCAGATCTTCTTCTGGGCCTCGAGGGCGGGGACGCGGTTGAGAGCCGTGTCCATATAGCCAGGGGAGATTGTGTTGACGCGGATCTTGTACTTGGCCCACTCGGCGGCGAGGGATTTGGAGAACTGAATGACACCGGCCTTGGAAGCGTTATAGCAGGACTGCTCCTGGGGGTAGTTTACGATGGAGCCGGACATGGAGGCGACGAGGACGATGGAGCCAGGCTTGCCGGCGGCCATCATGGCGCGGCCGACGGCCTGGGACATGAGGAAGGTGCCGGTGAGGTTGATGTCGATAAGACGGCGGAACATGGCCGGGTCGTACGTCTCGGCCTTGATGTTGGAGTCTGCAATGCCGGCCGAGTTGACGAGGACATCGGGGGCACCGTAGAGCTCGACGACGGAGTCGACGGCGGCGTTGATAGCGGCTCCGTCGCGGACGTCGACCTTGAAGAAGGAGACCGGGATGCCTGATTTCTCGTGGAGCTCGGCGGCGGCGGCGTCGCCCAACTCCTGGTTGGCGTCGAAGATGACAATGTTCTTAGCGCCGGCCTCGGCGCAGGCACGAGCCATGTGGTTGCCAAGGCCACGGGCGCCGCCGGTGATGATGATGGTCTTGCCAAAGACGGTCATGTTCTGGACGGTGCGTGGGAGAGTCTCGTAGACCTTCTTGGTGAGGGGCTCGACGGCCTCATTCTCGGCGGGAGGCGCAGGGCTGTCAAAGGGAATCTGGGCGGCGCCCTCGGGCACGCGTACGGTACGCTTATCGCCAGAGCCGGGCCCATCGTAGATGGTGGCGGGCACCTCCTTTTCGCGAACTACGCTGTTCTTCTTGGGCGTGTCGGAGACGCGCTGGGTAGCGGTGACGGCGAAGCCACGGGTGGCGGTGTGAAGCCGCGAGGCGGGCGCGGCGGCGCGGGAGAGCCGTAGGACGTTGCGGGCAGCGAAAGACATGGCGTCGGCTGTGTGGTTGTGTGAGGGGGAGGTGTTGGTTGAGAGGAGGAGGTGGAGGGAGTAGGAGGAGAGACTTTGTGTGTAAGTCGTAGAAAGATATTGAGAGACGAACGAGAGAGAGGTCCGACACGTAGAGGAGAAATTGGACGGGGATGGATATGATCAAAGAGCGAAAATGAGAATCGGGGGAAGGAGCTCGAGGAGAACAAATATATATCCTGTGTCGAAGGCTCTGCGCTGATGACCCGGGAACGGAGGTGGATGTGTTAGTAGGTTTTAGCGGAAAAGAAAGTGAAGGGGACCCTGAAAAGGGGGGGGCGTGTGCATTGTGTTGTGGGCCACGCACAGTGAAGGGCAGTGGCAGTTGGTCAATTGCAGTGCAGTGGCTGGTACGTACCTGGGACAGTGGCAGTGAGGCCACAGCAAGATGAAAATAAAAATAAAAGAAAGACTGGGACACTGGACCCTCTCCAGTGTTCAGAGGCCCGGGGGGGCGATTTTAGTGGATAAAGTGGGGACGTGCCTGAACGCTGGCAGGAAAGACATTTTCTTGTGGTGCGGCGAGACCGGGTGGCCAAGTCATTCACTTGGGCCTGTGGTGCAGAGAAAATTAGAACAAGTGCAAGGACTCAAAGCCTTTAAACTCATTGTCTATTGTGCTGCAGAAATAGCCGAGGCACAACTATCAGTTTCTTATCCAAAGTGTTCGTCCCTCAACACAGTGGCAAACGACGTAAAAGAAAATAGAGAAGGATCAAACGAAGACAGGCAGTTGCCATGATAAGACATACAAATAGTATCATCAATCATTTCGGCTGCCAACAGGGGGCAAGTCCGAGTTTCCAGGTTTGTGTGCTCTTGCCTCCAGCCATTGTACGAAGTAGTGTTGGCCGAGGAATGCAGCACACCGAATGCAGCCACAAATTAGTTTCGCCTGCCTACCCCAACTTCAAACGAGGCACGGGACACACGAGAGAAGCAGCGCAGCCCTCAAAAAAGTGATAATAAGCTGGAAACACAGACGCCGGGATAGCTCGTAATCGGCAAGGGGTGGAAGATGGGGGGAGTTGTTGGGCGGACGGGCGCCAGATCTGGTCACCCCACTGCCTCGCCTCGCTACAGAGAACCAGTATAAAAAAGCTTACAGCCAGCCTCTACCAGTAATAGAAGCACGCAACAGGAGACAGATTGCACTGACCGCACGCAACCAAGACACTGCCCAGATTGTTTCACTTTCACTAATGCTACTGACAAGAAAGAAAGAAGGAAAAAAGGGCCAAGACAAGAAGTGCCAATATTTTGCGTTAAACATGCCATACTGATACATCTCTTTGTTTGCTCAAGAAGAGGGGCGCTAAGAAAATTTGACTGAGCTATCAATCGCTAGCCAGCCTGATATGGCACTCCGCAGAGCCAAAAAGCTTGATATTTTTAGACGAATAACCTATTTGGCTATCTTTCTGGGGCTATCCCCTTTCTCATTAGGCTTTTATTATAGAAGAGATCAGCTGGTCTCGATAGTAATTTACGCGGGGCCACCAGCAATTACACGCCGCAAAGTAAGAAAAAGAGGCCATGTGCATGCTTTTTGCCAGGGTCGCAAGGACCATGGACTGCGGGATGGAAAATGTGCTGACTGTCACCGTCGGTGGACTGGTGGTTTTCTCCCCATACCTGTACATATATTCGTATGCATGCGCTGCTGAGCTCCCTCGGTCGAGAAAGGGGGCGTGCATGGGCGCAATGCAACACCCGACAAATAGGTAAGCCTCGACTCGCTTCGAATTGTCGGTCAACCAGAGCAGAAATGAAGAAGAAGAAAAAATCCTTTCGGACGCATGACACCTCAACTCCTTCGCAAACAGTATCCGCGTTTGGTATTATTGCGCACCCTTTTTTTTCACTATTGTTTTTTTTTACTTTCGGCTGCCTGCCGATATCGCTGACGTGTTCTCCGTACTGGCAGACACTGGTTTGGTTTGTGTCGAGGCTAGCGTTGGTGGCTTGTTGAGAAGGGGGGTGTGTCGTGCCCAATTCCTAGAATTTCCCCCATGGAGAGGTAAGCCGGGGAAACTCAAGCCTTGTGTGACGTGAAAACCATCTCCATGTTCAACGGAAACAAGCAAGCATTTGCTCACTACATCTGCACATCGCATTCTGCTATCGTAACAAACATTTCTTCAAGCCTCCACACCTCCCAGAGTTTCCGTTTTGGGGTTCCGGCTGTTACGCTGCGCTGCGGCCTTGCGGGAGAGATGTGGCGTTGCCCGCCTTGGCCTAGCGTCTCATTCTTCTTCCTGGTCCCTGGAAACGGTCGGCACACTGGAAACGGCGAGACAGCACAAGTGCAAGGCAAGGTTGCAAGGTACCGGGCTGTCCACTTCCGTTTATTTCTTTTCCCTCCACCACCGCACTTCTTAGCGCCCCATCGTGACGTGCCGCCCATCGTGGGGTCAGAGGAGAAAAAACAAGAAGAAGCGCCGGGACTTTCTGCGCTGCCGAGATCTAGGATCTCTTCTATGCTACTCTACTTCCCGCCACCGCTAGCTGCATGCAATTTCAAAGAAGAACGAGACAACGTTGTGGCTGCGTTGCGTTGTGCCAACGATCAAACTTCGGTAGCCCGCCGTTTCCTCTGCCTTTCACGATGATTTAGAACTCCCCGGCTACCTGCATGAATCCCGCTCGGTCCGCCATCTCTCCCCAATACTGGGTGACGAACAAGATTTACACCCCTCCCCCCAAGTCATGACACGGCGTTCTCGCTTGCTCGCCACCGCGCGGCATCTCAACCGTTTCGCTGGAATTGACCAGACACGGCCCGCCACATTCGAAAAGGCGCTCAAAGGCCAACATGACAGCTCAACGCTGCGTCGTACAAGAATCTCACATGACATGAAAAAAACCTCGCATCGGAGGGCTTGTTCCCGTCGGACGGCTTTCCCGACGCTCGTGGCTTCGTGCCTCGACAGCACAACACAAAGTAACATGCAGGGGCTACACCGCAGCAGCATCGCCACTGTGAGCACAATGAAAATCAAGGAGAGTCGGACTAAGCTACAGCTGGTACGTCTTCGACACGCAAAGTCAACAGCGGCCACTTGCTACTCAACTTCCCTGCAGTAGCTAGTGGGGATCTTACGTATAGTCTGGCTGTTTCGAGGCGTCTTCAAAACCCCGTTTCGCTGTGACATGCCGCATCTCGGTTTGAATGCGCGACAGCAAGCTGCAGCTTGAGGTTCTGCTCTGCGACTCTCTCTCTCTCCGTGTTCAAGAATAACTCTTGTCCTCCTCAGCGACCAAGTCGTCCAGCCTCGACACACCCTACCCAAGCGCCCGAACAAGCCATCTGTTGGCTGCAGCTAGGCCCTAGCTCCGTTCTAAACGCTGCTGCAGCCACGCTTCGGATGCACAGCTCTCCCATCCGTGCGCCGCCAGCCCTCCTCGGACGGACAAGAAAACTTGAGCCCGACAGCTACGGGGGTGCATCTACGACTGACTTCCCCCACAAGTCATTGCCGCCCTGCGTTTCCAGAAAATTTCTCCTCCCAGCCAAGTCAAGCCCCAGAGAGGCACACCCTCACCCCCTTTGGCTCCCGCCCGCTTTATAAAAAGTCAGAAAATAGCTGCGACCTGTTCCTCCGTGAGCCGGAAAACTTTTTCCTCGCCTGTCGCAGGTGGGCGGCCGGTGGCTGTCATCTGGGGCTCACTAGCAGTGAGCTCTCAGGCAGCCATATTTCTCGTCCTGTGTATGGGCAGCCATCTTGTGTCCACACCGCAATCGCTTCCACTCTGGCGTCGGAGAAAACACCAAACATTTGCCGGCTTGGAATTGATGATAGAGAGCGATGTCCACCGCCGGCTTGCTCTATTCGTATGAGCTCATTCGCTCGGACTGCTACCGCAAGCTGGCGAACAAGCTTAATTCGCTCTGCAACCAAGCACTTCATGCGCCATGAAACCGACACAAATACTGGTAAAGGCATATCATATGGGTTTGCCTCAGTTCAGGCAACTCGATCCTTGCCAAGTGTAATTTTTTTGCTGCCCGCGTGACAAGTCATCCATGCTCTGCACCAAACAGAGCCGGGTTTCTCGCTAATGAGCTTATTTCACGGCCCCCGTCGCTGACACCAAGCTCACTTTTCCGCTCCCGAAGCGCGAAGGCCGGCGCGCCGTGTCCTGCTGTGCCTCTTCTCAACAAGACAGGTACCGACTAGCTGGGAAGTCGGCAGCCCACAGCCTGGGGCCAACCCTTGCAACCATTTAGAGATTCGCCTGTGCCGGGGAGCTAGTTCCGGCACTAACTGCTTGTTGAAGACGCCGCAAGGGGGAGACAACAAATCCCACCCCAGTCATCAGGGTAATTGAACTGTATTAATAAAAGCGTGCTGCCCAAAGCCCAATCGCCGAGACAACGTGGCCTGGCCTGGCCTACGTGTCTGCTTTTGGGCATCGGATTTATACTTTCTTAACTCGTAACTAGCACTACCTTGTTTCTATTTGCGAAATGGCACGACAGATGAGCCGCAAATCATGCTATGCACCTGACTAGCGGCCCGCGAGCCATGCTGGGGACTGTCACTGTCTCACCCCGCCGGCCAGCCCCTTTACGCTGTTGCCCGGTTGCATCCTGCATGAGACGACTCGTATCTATGCTCACATTCGGTCTCTAATTAGAATTACTAAGATCTAGCCGAGATGTCGTACGCGCCACCCGAGTCTCTGTGATCGCTGTAATGCCATGCCGCAAGAGCTTTCGATGCAAACGACGCTGTACTCCGTACTCCGTACACACACTTGCTTCGAGATCTTGACGTCCTATTCAGGCTATTCAGGCAGTCCACAAAAGCTGTCACAGTGCCAGGGACAAGAGTGAGAGAGAATAGAGAAGTGAATAGAACAACGTGGCAACCATCTACACGCGTTGACGCCATGTCTGTTCAAATTCTTTAATAATCGGGTCGTTCAGTGGGTTTAATGTGGGAGAGCACATCGGCACTCAAGTACAGCTGTCCTGTCCATGCACATTTGACAGTGTTGGTGGTTCAAACACTGGTCATTCGGCCAGCGGATTGCCTGATGCAGACGTCCCGAAGCAGGGAGGACAGCGCACACCGCTGATCACCGCAGAGCCCTCTTCTACCCTGTTGCCTGTCACCTGTTACCGCAACTCTGCAAATCAACAAAATTCATTTTCATCCTGCCGCGGCCGACTTTGCATCATTCCAGTTCCACGAGTAAGAACTAGGGCCAACTATAGCTCCAGTTTTGTTTCTCACGCCGGCCAACTCTGGCTTATTTTTGATTGTCCACAATTGCAATGCATTTCCAGTTTTTTCAACTCCTACTATGGTGTCAAGGTGTCAAGCCACGGAATTTCGGGCCCCCGATCCAGAAAAACGTGGATTTTATATCGAATAGCTTGCCGCACAAAACGCCACGACGTCAGGACCACAAAGTCTTGTAAATCTCCTTGTCTCGGAATTTTTGTCGCTGCAGGCTGTACTTGGAAGAAGAACGCACTACATCCACTTTTTTTCCAGTCATGACGTCAATCTCGAATTGGCTTATCGAATCAAATTCTTTCGATAATAAAACTCGAGTTCACATGGCAAGCTGATAAGGCATCGTGCGCGGTGACCCCTGGAATTGATTGATTTTTTTCAGGGTCCAAAATTTTGAGGGTGGCGGCGTGGGTGTATTGATGCAAGGCTTCGACAACCTTCTCCCGGACCGATACTGCCGTGGGTGAGTCGAAGAGACATCACGCATAGGATGTTTTGTTCTCGAGATCATTGGATTGATTAGGAGAATTTCCAGGCTCAACTATCGCATTTGGCCGTCTGACCGCCTGTACCCCGTCTCAAATATTCGCTACTGGCATCCCGGTGACACTGGCACCATGCATATTTCGAATCTAGCATCTTGCCATGGACGTTGAATGTGTCTTGCGAAGACGATAATGGCACCAAAAGTTGATCCCGCGCTCGACGACTGCACCGCGACAGCAACAGCGATACCTACTACCCGCAATCTTAAACAACTTCCATGCCATCAACCCGCGCCATGTCTACGATCGCGAAATACATTAGGGTCGCCAGGTCGAGTCGCGCTGCGGGTGCACTCAATCTCGGTCTGGCACTCTGCAGATGCCGCTCTCGGCCGTTCGCAAATGACGTTGCAGTATTCAAACACAACTACGTGGTGCTCGTGTATTCAATCGTGATGTATGTTATAGTAGCCTGATCTTTCCATCAAGAGTAGATCACGTTCGTCTTTTTCGGACCTCTAGTATAAGTTGTTACGGCGGAGTGTGACGATATGGAGCAGAGGGCGACCTTGAGCACCCTCGCACTACCGGGGGTCGTCCCGTGAATCATACGAAGCAGAGCGAGGCCGGTATCGCAATGGGTGCCTACCGGCTATTGTCGTCGTCGTCGTCGTCGTCGTCGTAGTCGCTAAACTCATCACCTTCGCTGTTCGTCTCGCTGTCGCCGATAGAATCCCCGTCTCGATGAAAGCTTTCGGCCCCATTTCTGATAAAGTTTAGCATTCCGAACATATTCTCAGATAATGTCAGGGCTTTCACTGCATTTTCGAATGTGGTTGCCAGACATGGGCAAAGTTGCAGCCTGAAGGAGCCGACCACATTGGCAGAGGTGAATGAGGATGTAGGCCTTCAAGGCTCCAAGCCAGCAAGCACAGGTGGAATATCATGCAATAAGATACTACATAAATTTTAAACATGGACGATGATAGTTACTGACACCCCAAGACCATAAATGGGATCGGTCAACGGCGGTCGAGGAAAGAAGCCAGGCACGAACAGATGATGAGGAGCAAGTGAAGTCTGTTTCTAGAGCGGGATTATACTTGGAAATCTCACTCATTCTTTAGAGAGATCTGTCTCAAACATTCAGCTGCATAGAATCACATTTCCTTCTCTCACATGCAGCTCACTTTCTGCTGGGAGTCCGTACCTCTTAGCCTGCAACATAGGCTTATTCACTGCAGTCTTACGCACTCGGTTTCAATTCCGCTATAACGTTCATACATCGAGGCTCTTTTGACCTTTATTGATCTCCCTCACTTACTTTGGCAGCTCATCCCTCTTGGTTACCCTCAACCATCCCCGTTGACGGAGCTCATACGGACCAAAGCAGGCCTCCCTTAAGCCCGCCAAGTAGGTTTTATTTCATGCGCAAGAGTCATTTCTATGGTCTGATTGATCGTTTGGTACAAAATAACTTGCAACAATGGCCCCGCTCTTTGCCAATCGTCCCAATAGAGAGGCTGACTCAGGTTTACCTCTCAATTGGTACCAGTCGGTCCTCGATTGGGCCTCACCTGATGAGGAGTGCGACAACCCCGGAAAGCTTGATGTATCAGGCAAACCTCTTGCGAGCTTCCATGAGCTGCGCACCCGCGAATTTAACAAGGAATCGGGTGACTGGACCTTCGCGCATGCAGTTCATGTGGCTAGATGGGAATTCCACCAGGCTGGTTACACTTCGACACAGCTACAGGAATCAAAACAAGTTTCAATGCGAAATGATCTACTTGCAAGTGTCCTCAAGGCTTTGAGGAACATCTATTTCCCCACTATACTCGAGTGTACGACTTTCGCGCAAGCTTCTGCGAAGTTCATTTCTTATCTTGACACAACGGCTTGCCTCGTTGTTGAGTTGCTCCCCAATGGGAAATCGCAGACCGAAAACATTTCTCCGAGGCATTGGTTTTTCACAGACCTTGCAAAGAAATGGTTCCTGGCCGCCAAGTTCTCGTCTCCCACTGGTGCCCTTCCGGAACGCCTGCTCAAAAACCTCAAAACGCTCGGCTGTAGTGACTACTTGAACATCGAGGCAAGTTCTATGATACAAACATTAGGGGCCTTGAGACTATCCACTGACCTTGCAAAAACTAAGAAGAAGAATAATTTAAGTTTGGATAAATGCAAGGCGAGTCGGAAGGTTGACGATGACGCAGAAAGGCAGGCCGAAAAAAATGCAACTCGACCTTTTGATGCTTCTCCTTCCAAGACGATGAGCTTCGACCGGAGCTCTCTGCAACTGCTCATTAATAAGACTATTGACGATAGGCTTCACGACTTCAACACCTCCGAAGTTGGCAAGAAACGCAAGTTCAACGATGGCCATCTTGATGAGCCCATCAAAGCCGCTGTCAAGAAGAAGCTTGCTTCTTATGAGGTGCTGTTGGACGATTACACCGGACTTACGGATCATCTTGTTCACAGCTTGGTCAGCTTCAGTGACTTGCCTGAGAAGGCTACGAAGCTCAAACAGCGACGGGAAGAGCTCAAGGCGGCCGCGACACTTTGACCTCCATTCCTCTGAGACACCAAGGTAATGCCGACGACAGCTACCATACTGAGTGGCTCCAGGATGATGAACTGCCGTGTTGCTCTCTAAAACTATGGTAAGACAGCCCTTTATCGGTGGCTGAAGGTTTCTAGTATTGCTGCAAATATGCGGAGTGTTTCGCGGGCCGCGGCACCCGGGCAGGAGCCTTGGCTTGACCGTGGTTTCGAGTCGTGGAGGATGACAAAGACCAAGCTTGCTATTCTGCTATGGAGATTTCATTTGCTTCGACTTTACATTTTAGGCCATGATTGATGGGCAAGTATAGCAATGGGCAAAGATAACGGGCCTGGTACCCACGGATCATGATCATGGGGTTGATCAAGTTTCGAACAAGACACTGCAACACACGATGCACAGTGAGATGTTATTTCACTATTATTCAAGTGAAACCCAACTTTGCTAGACTCAAGATTTTTAGTTACATTGGGAGAGCTTATCGGAAAAGATGTTTCTTCGCTGCACTGTTGCGCTCGAAATGATTGAGCGGCTCCACGTCCATTCCACTTGCTGTTGTTTCTCTCCGCGAAGCGAAGCGAAGTCGACAATACATCACACAAATACAGCGCGGACAACGCTCGACGTATTCACCAAGTTTGAAGCTTCCCTTTTCTTACTTGTTATCTGTCCGGTTCAGAACATATCTAATTCTTTCCACTCCCGTTAGTTCGTGTAATCGTTTGTTTACACGATTATCGCCATGTATTCCTCTTGCTCGATCCTTCATGAGACATGCCCGGCCCTGCACCTCAAAATTCCTCTATACGAGTGCCTACATTCTTCCTCGAAGCAACATTGATGAGATGAGTACCGATCACGAGATCCATCAAGCCCAAGCCAACACTCTTATACACGACGGTACCGTCGCGCAGCCAGCGCACCATGTGATCTTCCTTCTTCTTCTTTTCGCCCTGGTCTGCTGAAGAACCAGACTTTGAACGAAAAGGAAGGTGGAAAGTTGACTTGTGGTTGGACGAAGTCGAGCTCGCCGGACTGGCCGGGCGCGAGGGCTGGCTTGCGTAGACGCCGGACATGGCCGAACCAGAGTCGGTGGTGTCGGTTCGCTCGAATTCGCTGGTCGCGTCAGAGGCAGAGGCCTCTGCTTCGGATTCTTCAACTCGCAATTTGTGAAGCATAACAAGTTCGCCCAGTCTGTGCATGTTAGTAAGGGTCAAAACGAATAGGCAGACTGTGCATACTCAACGAGGTGCGTCGCCGGAATCTGGGCAGAAATGATTTCGCCTGCCTCCTTTAATACACCCTCCAAAGTATCGACAACAATGACGCCGCCCTCTTCAGCATGCTTGTGGAAGTGGCGGTGCGGCTTGTCGTGCTTGTCGTGATGCTTCGTAACCCGGTGCAGCAGTAGTTCGGGGAGTTCGCGCATCTCGGGCGTAAAACTTCCGACGGCCACGATAAGCCGTCCCTTTTTGCGACCCTCGTGATTCGTCAGAATGTGCGCATCAAACAGCTCCTTTCGCGACGGCGTGCAGCAGTAAATGACGTCTGAAGCGCGAAGGTATTCTTTTTGCAGACGGTCAAACTCATGAAACGTCGGCGTCAGAATCGAAAACTTTGCATTCGCCCACCCTTCGCGCTCCTTGATGGCCTGCGGGATGATGGAGAACCTCTTGAGCATCAGGGCCGCGCTCTCGGAGAAGCGATGGTTGATGATGTAGACGTGGCGCACGGTGCTGCCGCGCATCATGAGCGCGAGGCGAACGTGCCAGTAAGCCTGTGAGCCGCTGCCAAAGACGGTAATGTCGCGCACGTGGTTGCGGCGGGAGACGAGACATGCGGAGCCGAGAGCCGTGCGGAACGCGGTCAGGCTGCTGGCGTGGACGACACCGGTCAGCTCGCCGCCGGGTGAGAAGAGGTTGACGACGCCGGTCGGGCTAATCGGCTTTACGGAGGGATCCTGCATTGCGGCGGATGTCGTCAGCGACACGACTATGCATGTTAGCAAAAAGTGTCTTATATGATTAAGATTCCAGTCGTGGGCGCACCTTTGCAGCCCATGCCCTGCGGACCGCATGATGGCATGTACAGAGTCGTGGCCTTTGTCTCGGGGTGCTGCGTGGTGATGCGATGCGGCTGCTGAAAGGCGTCGGCGCCATCTACCTGGGAGCCGGTCGAGAATTCATGCAGCGCCTCGGCGAGGACACGGCGAAACTCTTCGAGCTCATCGAGGGTGAGGCTCTCCAATATCGAGTTGACCTGGTCGTCGGACAGTACTGTGAGCGTCATTGTGACGGATGCGCTGGCTGTGGCGCCGGGTGAGGGCTATCGCGGGGTCAGAGGGGTAACACGAGTCAGAAGGTGGCCGACTGCAAGCGTGGCTTTCTCTTAGGATGAAAGGTGCGCTTTCAAGTTTTACCCAGAGCCGTTCGACGGAGGGCTTGCGTATGCGTCAAGCAAGATGCAAGCTCGAGACCAATGCATGGCGGTTTCGTTCAAATGGGTCAGATTGTTGGTGGCGTCGTGGTGGTCATTGTTAGCTTGAGCCTTCTCCACCGGGACCCGCGACGCTGAGCAAGGCCCGAGGCCGGAGCGCGAGCAGACGGCTTTATGCCGAATCGGAGGGCGACATTAGGACCTTGATAGGCTGGACGGTCGATGCCGGACTTGGCCGGATTGTGAGGATGCGGAGATGAAAACGACGTGATGAGAGATGGTGAAGGTGCGTGGGAAGCAAGGCGGGAAAGAAAGCCAGATCGCAAACTGGTGGGACCAAACGGCCTCGGGTTACCAAGTACTAAAGGGAGTTTTTAAGGTTAGAAATAAACTTTGTTGGTTTTACAATTTTTACAGAAGCTCTATCGCCTCTTTTAAATCAGGCAAGAAGCTAAAAGAAATTCTAGCTCTCTAAAGAAAAATCATCAGTCGTCGAAGAAAAGAAGCCGAATAGAGCTTACAATGACGAGAAGAGAAATAGAAGAAAATAATAAATAAAAGAAAAATACCTACGAGATAAGAGACGAGAAATTCAGTAAGAAGCATCACAACTTTCCTCTCTTAACGACAATATGACCCTGTTTTCCTCAATAAACATTGGAACTAAATGAGTCCGTAAATAGACTTGAGATCAGCGCTGCTGAGGCTTGCGTCGCACCATCACCATACATGTCAACGCCTGTACAAGACCGCTCACGCACGACGGTTACACTGCATTGCCGAATCTGTTCTTAGTTGCATTTTAGGAAATAGATGATAGATTACACAGAACACAACATAGCCTGATCGCCGACGGGCCAATCAGCATGCCTCTTCGTATGCTGCCGATGGACCAACCAATCGGTAGGCTTTTCGTATTAGCTCACGAACCGTTGTAATCGTACTGCAATGGCGAGGTTCACTTCAATCTAGCGGGCGCAGTTCATCATCTGTCCCCGTTGAACATTGAGGCAGGTTCATGCTTGCAGTCTCCGCGGCGCTCCGCTCCTCACCTCATCCATCAAAGTCACCTTTCCAGTATAAAAATGGCCTCTAGAATGTATGCGTACTCGATGAAACCTCGAACCTCACAACCACTACGAAGCCGTCGTGCAAAGGGCTCTGCAGTCCGCGTACGGGTAGGGGCTAGAACCCATATTGCGTGTGTTGGCTGCAAAGACAGCAAAGTCAAAGTGAGACACCCACTATGCTACTAAACTTTGAGTGCTGATTTTTTTATATCATGTATGTAGTGTGATGGGCAGGTCCCAGCTTGTGGCAATTGCCAGCGGCTTCATCTTAGTACGAAATCAGCGGACATTGATTTCTTTGAAGCCTGAAGCTGACCTAACCTATAGCTTGCGTCGTTCAAGACTCCTCGACGAAACGGCGTCAGGCTCGCGACTACCTGAATCAATTGGAGCAGCGCGTCAACTTACTAGAGGAGCAGCTGCGAGAGGCCAATTCCGGCCAAGTACCGGTCCCTGGGCGCGAATCCGACGCCTCTTGGGATGCCGACTTTGATCAGTCCGAGGGCGATGACCTTGCATCCATAGTGGGATTAATATATTCCCACTTACCGGCTCACACTGGCTAACAATGGACAGGAAGTTATTAGCCAGTCAGGCACTGCGCTAGTGCGTTAATCTTAGCTACCACCTACCTTTGGCTTGTTTTGTCTCCTCTCACCATCTTCTTCTTCCCCCTTCCTTTCCTGGCCTTTTCCTTTTCTATATAATCGGCCACTTATATAGATTCGATGCCACGTTCAGTTTTTGTTGGGGGCCAACTCTTTGCTTCTATTTTTCATTTACCTCTTTTCTTTCATCACTTGATTTTCCGACCCCATCTACTACCTAATCATCATTATGGATTTAGAACAATTTATCCAAGCACGGCAGAACGGCACCCGCAGACCGCGATCGCCATCCCAGCGCACCCCAGAATCTTCGAGGCATCTCAACACCGCAGATATTATTGAGGAAAGAATGCAAATTGACGGCCATCGGTCATGGGGGTTCGTAATCTATCGCACCACCTACGCAAACGACGAAGACTGGGCGCGGTGTTTGAGCCGCATTCATGAGGCAACTCAAGATTGCTTTGAGTTTTATAATGGACAAGACGTGCTCGACCTTAGACAAAGCACTATTATGGACAATGTCCAGATTTTTGATGGCATCGACTCACATGCTATACGAGATCACTTTCGCCAATGGGTTACTGATAACCTTGTTGAAGAGCAAGGTGAACAGTCCCAAACTACGTCTTATCTATCACCCCGGTATCGATTTGCAATTCAGATTGATGCCGAAGCACTTGGATCCATTGTCAACCAGCCTGACCTGACCTATCTTATGTTGCCTGTGGATCAGAGAGGATGGCTGAAATTAATTGATGCGGACTGGCGTGCAGGACGTTGGTCTGCAGACGAAGGTTATGAGGCTATCGAAGGGATTACACAGGAGGATGTTGGGTGGATGAAGCAACCTTGGTCAGACGTACACGGAAACCTTTATGCTCGCTGCTATGACCGTAATTTCTGGCCTATATCCTATGTGCGCCCTCCAGCTCTTGCTCATTAAGCAGAATGACCATTGCTATGAGCTTAATAATAATAAAAATTATGTTGATTGGATGGGTATCTACGGAAGAACAAAAAACGTACAACTTCGCGGACAAAAGTCATGCCATCGCGCTTGGTCATCTCGACGCCCATGGGCAGAGGGGATGGGTTCGCGGCCACGCTGAAGAGGACGGCGAGGGCCAAGGTGGTGACGGTGAGGATCTTGGACATCATTTTGGAATATGATTGTAGTTTTCTAGTATACTGCTGAACAGGTAGAGTCGTGGTGTTTGATAAGGTTTCGATGCTTGTCAAAGGGGTGGCAGAGACGCAGCGTTTTTATACCTTTGAACTCGCCCGCTCTTGAGAGTCGACAGCAACCAACCCCGCATTCTACTACCTACGCAATGAAATCACAGCTTTTAGATGCAGCAGAGAGCTTGTTTTCAGTTGTGCATCCGAGGCATGTATGCATCGGAGGACGGCGGACAACTGGGAACCAGGCTCTGGGGGTGACAAGAGACAGGAAAGGAAGTTGATGCTGCCTGTGGATAGCTTCGACGCCTAATACAGTCATTCTGCATACACGTCGGCCATTGCTCTGTCTACTTAAGATTAGGGGCATTGAATAGGCAACGTCGCCCGCTCTCGCTCGCCGTAACACGTGACGCTACACAAGAAGATGTGACAGCAAGGTACAAAGAAAACCCAATTCCTGGGTTTGATCTGCTATTTTGCATCCCCTTGGGCTCGTTCATCAAGGAGGAAAAATAATGGCGTCCAAAAAAACGGCCAGAACCATCCTCGGGCTCGGATTTGCCTGCTTTCTGTGGCTGACTCTCTTCTGTCCCGATCGATACAGCGGCGGCCTGCACGAAATCACAACATCCGTGTCGCTGCCGTCGCTAGGTTTCCTACAAGCGTCGTTCCCTAAGCGTAGCCAGAAACATGCCGACTACTACGCCTCCCGAGCCGCGCACGACTTTTACGCTGCCCATAGTTATACCGTCTTTCGTCCACGCAGCCCCACGAACGAGCGTAAAGTATACGACCTCATCATAGTTAATTCCAAGCTTAACTTTCTTGAAATCCGCCTTAACACACTATATAACTACGTTAACTACTTTATCACTATTAAGTCGCCTAAGACATTCCAGGGCAATAAGAAGCCGCTCGTTATTAAAGAGAACTAGTCGCGGTTTCGTCACTACTATAATAAGATTATTTACTATAAATAATCTTTTCCTAGCTCTTTTAATCTACACCACGCGTGGGATTATAAGGATCTATAGCGTGACGCTATGTATGATTAAGTTATGCCCGGGCTAACGGGCGCGCAGGCGCCGCATAAGGGCGATGTCATGATTGTGGCCGACGTGGACGAGATTCCGCGGCCTAAGACGCTCCTCGTGCTCCGGTCGTGCAACTACCCGCGACGGCTGACGCTGGCGTCCAAGTTCTACTACTACTCGTTCCAGTTTCTGCACGACGGGCCTGACTGGCCACACCCGCAGGCGACGTACTACCAGGGCTGGCGTACGCTGTCGCCGACTAACCTGCGTAACGGCGACGGCGGGTTCCGCCTAACGCGCAGCGGTGAAAAGGGGGTGCTAGGCAACGCGGTCTGGCACTGCAGCAGCTGCTTCCCGACCCTCGCGCAGTTCCTCAACAAGATTGCCAGCTTCTCGCACGGCTGGATGAACCGCGACGAGTACCGCGACAAGGACAGGATCGCCGCGGCGGTGCGCGGCGGCACGGACTTGTGGGAGCGGGATACGGAGACGTTTACCAGGATCGACAAGAACACAGACGTACCGCCGATGGTGCTGCGCGAGCCGGAGCGCTTCGGGTACATGACGAGCCGCGATGGCCCGTCGGCGGGATTCACAGACTATCCCTGATGCGGGGAAGATGACGCCCAGACGAGGGAGACTTGACGAAAAGAAGTAGGGTTCGGCGTTTTATTTGGTTCGTTGTATGCAATGAGCTTATCTGGCGAGCGTGTATATTTATCATGTTACTATTAGCATCGCCGCGGGGCTGAGTTGGAGTAGTTGATACCTATAAGGCTGACGAGTATACCTGGGTCACGACACAACCATTGAGTATTGAGGACATGAAGTCACTGAGGTTGGCCGCTCTGGAGACGTCATACGACCGAGTTACCTTGCCTTCTAAAGCCTTGTCGTGGGTAGCCAGACAACTCGATTTACCGCCTGTCAGCGGCGTATTAGCCGAAGAGGACGACGAGGTATCAGAAGAGGAAGACTAGGTATCATAAGCAGAGGTCGGCGAGGTTTCTCGTGCTAATTGCCCAAGTTGTTCAATGCGTACGCTATACGAGAGGAAGGTATGTCTCCAAATAATTACAGGTAGCACTGAACAGGTGAGATATCAAGGCGACACGGCACGTGTCTATAGATTGATTAAACTGACTTGAATCTAGAAATACATTTACAATATCCCAGATATTTTCGTCCTCATGCAGAATCATCATCTCCCCCGGCGTTGAACAGTCTATATAAACCAAATACAAATTTGTCCAACGAGGCAGTGATGCGAATGCGTGCCCCAGGCACTGTTGGCTGTGATTGAACCAACCTCGTCTAACTTCATGTAGAGCCTGCTAGCCAACCAGCCTCTGCGACATGGTCCGAGTACCATCATGGGCGAGTCTTGTGGAGGTCCGTCATATTGATTGCATCGTGCAGCCAGTAACCCCAGTATGGCATCTCACCGCCGCCGTCTCGCTCGGTCCTATGTTGATAATACGCATCCTATTTCCTCCACGGGCCAGGCTATCCAAGACTTGTGTTCACTGTCGAGCATATCGTGGGCTCTGCGGATGAGTCGGTCACCCCAGCCCCGTATCCACCAGTGCATGTCGAGCTTCTTCAGCAAGACGCAAAAGTATGAAAAAATGGCAATGGCCTCTTGGGTTGGCACTTTGAGCAGCGGAAGAAAGTCGTCCAAGACCAGGTAGATCCATGTGAATGCGTCGGTGATGTCGGCCTGCGACTCCTTCAGGAACACCAAGGCGACCATGCGCAGTTCCTTGATGGCGTATTTGTAAATGCGCAGCGTCTCAGAATCGTCGACAGTCGAGCATACGAGCATCTCAAGCTCGGCCATGGCATCCATCATGTCCGATGCATCCCCCGTTTCCGGCCGGGGGTCCTTCCAGAGCGGCGACTGCCTTGCGTGCGCGAGGAATGGTTCCACTGGACCGCGACTCCCCGGCGGGCCTAGCATCTCGATGAGGGACTTTGTCCATTGAAGAAGAAACAGCCATTCCGGAAAGCTGCTCTCACCAAAGAGAAGTAGGCCATCCGACGGCTGGCTCGGGCCGCCCAGCGCTGCGCCGTTGTTTTAGTTTGGGAGGCATTTCACGCCAAGGATTCGGTTCGGGCAGGCAGAAGAGTACAAACCGAAAAATATGGTCAGGACAGAAAAGAGGAATAGGCTGCCTGCATGCTCCTCGTCAACGTCGGACATTAGACTCATTGCTTCCCTGGACGCCAACCGGTGGTAGGTCAGCGCGGTAGAGATGTACTGCTCCCGCTTCTCTGGTGAGTGGTGGGCGAGGTGCAGCGCCGAGACGGCCAGCATAGCTCGCATGACATAGTCGTACTTGAGAGCGCTTTGGACGGCTTCGCCACGCCAAAAGTGTCGGACTGTGCGAGAAGAGAAGAGGGTGGCGTACGTGGAGGTGCTGAAATGGTGCATGAGTTTGAGGTCAAGCATGTTCAACGCTAGAGCCGACTCATTCTGGTTGAGGAAGTTGGGACACACTCCCGACTCGGCCAGGAACTGGCAATCTACGCCGCGCCTGAGACAGTTGCGACACGAGGGGCGCTGCTCATCGCACTGGTGCCGAAATATCTCCGTCAGCTGATTGATGAACGATGCGAAAACAAGAACAGGATGCACGCCGGCCACCAGGGGAGGGGGCGCAGGACACATGTTCAGCTGTTATCCGACCCGCGTACAAAAACTTGCCTTTATTTTCCGTGCCTTGCATGTCTTGCAGCCCGTCCTGCTCTTGGCATGGGAGCGGCGAGACGAGGGCGGCTTCTGTTCCCTGGTCCGGTCTGTCAAGCCAGCGTCGCTTGATTCCGAGACGGCGGACTGAGCTGGAGACGGATCGGGCATGGCTGAAAACATTTGAATGTATGCCAGCCTCTATGTTGTCGACGACTAATCTTGACGAGCTGAATCCCGACTTGCTCGCGTCGCCCGCCGGACAGAGAAATATGCTACAACCAGTTTCTCGGGAGAGTCCGAAGTTTAGTTTATGTGGACGGCACCAACCCCCCACACGCGCGCGCGCTAACATGATTCACCTCGTTCTCGTTCTTACCCGTCAATGTCAATGCATAGTGCGGGCCCGGCGCCACCGACCGCAGCCGGTGGGCGGAGCACCAAGCACGGAGCTCGGGTTTTCCTCGTACTCGGGCCCGATGCGAGGGTGCAAGACAAGACAGAGATGCTTGACATGTTAAAAGCATGAGCTGGGGCCGGGATTGGCAGCACAGCCTTGCGAGCGATTTTATACCTTTAATTTCTCCTTTCATACTTTGTCGCATCAATATTTCGCAATTTACAGCAGTGCAGCAGCGATTCGTCTCCTGTGTCACCTAGCAAGCAATACAGCAGAGACGTCCTCTACTACCCATCATCCACCACGAATTCTTCCCGGCATTATAGATCGACGCTCATGGATAGTCTCGTTGCTGCTGTCCGCAGAGCCGAGGACGGTCACATTGACTTCAAGCTCTACCGATACGTCCCGTCGCTCCCTGCAGCTGTCGTCAGTCTCGCCGTGTTTGGGCTTTTGACGATACTTCACACCTGGCGCCTCGTGCGCGCCCGGGCCTACTACTTTACGGCCTTTGCAATTGGCGGTGCATGTGAGTTGCCAGTCCTGGGGTCTTGAAAGATGTGTGTCAACTAATCAGCTCTGTTTGGGCAGTCCAAACTATTGGCTATGCCGGAAGGCTGTGGTCACACTTTGACAGTTCGTCCGTTTCTGCATACTCAATACAGGCCATTCTCATCCTTGTCGCTCCGGCCCTCTTCGCGGCGTCCATCTACATGATACTTGGCCGGCTGATTCGAACTCTTGGCGCCAGTCACTTGTCGCTCATCCCCGTTGCGTGGCTGACTACCCTCTTTGTCATGGGAGACGTTCTCTCATTTACGCTTCAAGCCGGTGGCGGCGGTGTCCAAGCCTCTGGAACCATTGAAATGTACAATCTCGGCGAAAAGCTCATTGTCGTCGGCCTGTTTGTCCAAATCGCCGTCTTTGGCTTTTTCGTCGCCACATCTATCCTCTTTCACTACCGCATAGCTACAGCACCGACGCACGCAGCTACCCACGGGGTGGTTCCGTGGAAACGACATCTTTTTGTTCTCTACACCACTAGCACCATCATCCTGGTCAGGAGCGTCTTTCGGGTGGTCGAGTATCTGCAGGGAAATGGCGGCTATCTCATCTCCCACGAGGTGTTCCTATACATTTTTGATATGCTTCTCATGGTTGCTGTCATGGCCATTTTCCTCGTCTACTATATAGACGACCTAGAGTCGAAGCGGGCGCGCAAGGGAAAGGACAACACGACCCTGCAGTGTGAGGCGGACTCCAGCGACGGCATGCTGCATGAATTCCCTCGAAAATAAATAGGATATATATTATACCTTGGAGCTTTTCGTTGAGCTTTTTCTTCGCTGAGTTTTTCTTTTTTTCCCCAATGTAATAAAGTTAGACGTGGTCGCTAGACCTTGGTTATGCTGAAGCGCTTTGGCAAGCAATTCAGCCAAATGCGCTACAGTAGTAGGCAATCTCTATTCGCATGCTTCGTATCAAGTGCGAGCAAAAGGTGGAAATGGATAAAACCCCCATTGCCCCAGGTTCAAGGGTAGAACGACGTGAACAAGAATAAATAGGTACATTTTTGTGCGGCCTTCGACTCATATAAAGTATGGCACATGCAGTGTATATGGCTTTACCGCCCGCTTAGCTATTGTGCCCGAGAACGAGAAGCAAGTATACAAAGCTCTTTGAGACCGCGGCCCTGCTACTAGCCCTGTGAGAAGACTGGCCAGTGAAATTACTTCCATATCGGGATTGTCTTGAGCATATGGCTGCAGTTTGCCAAGGAGCAGGCGTTGCTCCACGAGGCATCCGGCCAGCATTGCATAAACCCTCTTTGACCAATATATCAAATTAAAATCACTTGAGCATGATTGACAGTCTTTTTCCAGCTGTTGACTTATACTCCTTCACAGCCTACGCACTCGAGCAAAAGACGCTCCGCACCACTCACTCCCACGCCGTGGCAACCACTAATGGCAGAATCAACCGAGGAGCGTGGCGTCATCTACCACATAGCCTCACCCGCTCCTCGCAAACGCATGCTCACAAGGCCGAGCATAATATGGCAGCTGCAGGGCTTCGACCAAACAGGTTCTCTGCAGGAAACGCTCAACTTTCACTCTGTCAGCATCTGGGTCTCGCTCATCTCACGAGAGGTCTGCAGGCTACGAAAGACAGGCAGGGGCTCTCCCGCCGTGATCCTCACCCGTGACTCAATGACAGCAGAAGATGAAGCGGCATCAACAATAGTACAGGAAGTATTGAGTGGTGTTGTTGCAGCTGGAAGTTACTATAATCGCCCTGGAAGCTGCTACAGACTCTTTGGTTGGGTATGGACTCGCCATATGGATTGCAGAATCATGAAGCGTGGTGAAGAGCTGTTTGAGATGCTGGTCAACGACCATATAACGATGCATCTGCAAGTAGCTGGAGGAGTACGAAGCGTACCATAAAATCAACAAACCAAAAGCTAACGGCAGGACAGATTCGCCAGACATTCGACGCCACGATAACGTTTACGCCAAGTAGCAGGCGAAAGCTAACCCTCGTCCGTATTACGAATAGTGAAATATGGCTGGCTGGGGACAGCCTCTGGCGGCAACTCGACCAAGAGCCGGCTGGTGGGGGGAGAGAAAGAATGACAAAAGTCCCAGAGATGGAGCGAAATATATTTGAATGGAAGCATTTGGCGACTTTGGCCGGAGTTTTAGTAAGACATGCAAGCAGCTAGTCATCACGTTCTGTTCCCAAGTCTCAAGAGCCGTGATCAATGTCTAGATGTATACAGGCGCGACACCAGTCGTAGCTTCCATAGATGTGCTAGACATTAGTGCCATAAGCGAGAAGGGCGAGGGGAGAGAGGGAGTGTGTAGAGACTTATAATAGGAGAATGCCTCGCAAAGTAAATTCACCGAGAGGCGCTAGTTTAGAATTCTCGGAAAATAGACCACGGTGTCGCGGGAATCGGAGACGCGAAAAGGACATTACATTGTCAAGAAGAAAAGAGCGGAGCAACTCGTACTTCGTATTTTAGCGTCTCTCAATGCGGCAAGGCACTGTGGAGCCGAGTCTCAGCATGAACCACGATCTATTTTTTACATGGCTAGCTTGCCCCTGTCCCTTGTCGAGATTCATCCTGGCATAGCCCCCAGGCCCCTGGCTCTCCACTGCAGCAAGTCTCGGGTTATCCCGAGGCCGCCTTGAACAGCATTTTTGTCAGCGAGCTTCACGAGCGATGCGAAAAGGTGCAGAGATGTTGTGTGCCCACTGCAAAATGCAGAGTCTAAACCTTTTTTTTTTTTTTTTTTTTTTTTTTACGTGAGTCAGGCCTTGTATACGTTTATAGCATGCCTCGGCTTCGTCCCGAGGGCTGTGCGTTGGCTCTGAGATCAAGCCAATCATCTTGGCAGAGGTACAGTGAGGAATAAAGGATTGGGTAAAGCCTGGTGTCAACCGCCCTCTCTAGTACTTTCAAGTAGCCTGTTCAGCATCAACACAGCTTTCTCTTTTGTATGTTGCTCTTTATTCTCTCATTTCGCTGTCAAGAAAGCCTTTTCATTCGTCTCTTGGCCCTTTATTCTCTCTTTTTGTCAGACCTGCTTCTTTGGTCTTTGGCGGCTTGTCTATCCTCTCCTCCATTGATTTTGATCGATACATTTCAAGATCGCGGTTTCTTATTCCCTTTTTATTAATTTCTTTCACGATGGATGTACAACTCCGTGAGGCTACCGCCGACGAAGCCTCGTCCGAGTCGCCCTTCAAGCTCTATCACTACGATCCCACGACAGCTGGAGCCATGATTTTTGTTCTACTATTCTCCGCTACGACCATCCTACACTTCTGGCAGCTATTGCGCTCTCGATGCTGGTTTGCCATTCCGCTCGCGATTGGCGGTATTTGTAAGTGGCGCGGCCACTGGTGGCTCTTTTGTTGGTCGACGAACCGACTAGAGCTTTTTTTTCTCATGATGGTACACATTGACTGACAGTAACTCTCTACCCTTCAAGTTGAAGCGATTGGCTACGCCAGCCGCTTTGCTTCCGGTAAGGAGAGTCCCGATTGGACCCTTACCCCGTACATTATCCAAGCGATTCTGCTCCTCGTTGCTCCGGCCCTATTCGCAGCAAGCATATACATGGAATTGGCGCGCATCATTGTGCTTGTCGATGGCGAAAGCCGTGCCTGGCTTTCCAAGAAATGGATGACAAAGATCTTTGTCATTGGAGACGTTCTCTCTTTTATAATGCAGGGAGGAGGTATGTAACCGGCATTGCTCCAGTTCAGGGCTGCGGTAAGCTAATAAATTTTCGCAAGGCGGCGGCTACCAGGCTTCCGGCACGCTGGCGGCCCTCAAAACCGGCGCAAACATCATCATTGCAGGCCTTTTTGTCCAGCTCATCTTTTTTTCCATCTTCATCGTCACTGCTGTGGCATTCAACATGGCCATTAACCGTTCACCAACCGGAAGCTCCAGGAACGACGCGACGTGGAGGAAGCATTTGAGGGTCCTCTACATTAGCAGCGTCATCATCATGCTGCGCTCCATTTTCCGGGCCGTCGAGTATCTACAGGGATTCAACGGATACCTCTTGAGACACGAGGTCTATCTGTACATTTTTGATGCGCTTCTCATGTTCATCGTCATGGGACTGTTCAACTACATTTACCCTGGAGAAATAACCGCTCTTCTCAGGAACAAAGAACGCAACGACGGTTGGAAGACGGACATTGGAGGCCATCAACTTCAGCGGATCGGGTCTGAAGATGAGTTGAACGGCGGCAGGTTTGCTTGAACTACATTGGTCCACTTGTATACATGTGTGGACTGGCTCTGACACACGACGAGGTCTACAAAGCTACAAAAAGTACAATTGATCAATAGCCAGTTAATTAGCAATTGAACACTAGCTGCTACTAAAGTAGCTGCTGATTGACTGGCTGTTCATTAAAACTAGCTGCCAAGGAATTACCTGTATCATCTGTAAAGGACCTGCAACGCATCAACAACGCATCCTCACCACCTTTGTGAAAAATGCCCTCCTCAGGCTTGGCCGTTGACCCCTCTGGACTTGAGCTTTACTGCCACCCCACGTCATGTGCCATGACCAAGCCCGACCTTGCGCTTTGGCCATTCCAACCAGGACTCCCAGTATTCGCCGAGAACTTCGTCCGTGACACGTACTACGTCCTTGCCCCATCCCTCCATGAACCAATAGTCATTCAAACCATGCAGTAATGCACCAAAGTAGCTAAAGATAATCAATGCGGGCGGCTGGCGTTGATGCAGGCGCGTGAAGTAATCCTCTGATGCGAAATGCAGGAACATCAATGGACCTGACCAGCCTCGATTGTACCCCCAAGCATGCAGCGACTCTTCTGGCATAGCCTCGAACTGGGTGATGTAGAGGTGGCACTTCCTTAGGACCAGCAGTGCTTCATCGTAGACTTGCGAATCAGGCATCCCATGCCAAGCGCCGCGAATTCGGCAAAAGGCTTCATCTTCGGGCGCAGTTTCACTGGCGAGGTCCAGCTCCGCCCAGTTGCCCAAGTTCGTCATGGGGCTCAACGGCCCTTTGCGCACACGGTCGAAGACGGGATGAATCACTGCTTCCACGCCGCGGATGATGGGAATCCATTCCGTGCCGAGGGCGCGTATGTTCCGGGAACGGGAACCGATGCCACCGCTGCTCTCACCATTGACTGGCCTTAGCATAGCAAGGATGTAGATGATGTTCAAAATGGAACATGCGAATAGAGCGTCACTATTCTCGTCGCTCATCTCGCCGATAGCCTGTTGAAAGCCCTGAAGTGACGTGTTGTGGTGACGCGAGGCATCGATGGTCCGTCGCTTCCTACTCGCACTGTCGATATGAGCTATGTGCAGGGCAGCCAGGCTAAGGATGCCATGCATGACGAAAGGGTATTGAAAGCCGATCCGAGGGAAGACTGTTTGCCAGTAATAATCGATCTCGGAAGACCTGACAATGTCTTTACTCGCGGAAACTGACCAATGATGGAGCAGAAGCAGATCATCCATTTCGAACACGGCGACGGCTGAATTCCTGTCCGGGAAGCCCGGCGTCACAGTGGTGCATCTTCGAGACGCGGCTGGGGATTCGACATGCGGGCTAGGGCCGGCGTGACCCAGAGATGGCTCGCTCCCGGGTGATGAATTCGTGCGGCTGGGATTTAATAACGACTGGGCGAAATCGCGATAGACGCACTGAGAGCCCTGACGGACGCACGACAGACAGATCGGTTTTTCCTCGCCGCACTGGCATAGTGACTTAGCATGTGTGTATTTGTCCGAGTGGAGGTATTTTTTTGTGTCAAATTCGTGGCTGGAAGTGGCTACAGAGGCCACCAAACGCGAAGCGACGCATCACAAGGCTCGTCACAGGCCGGCTTTTCGCAGGCGGCGGCGTTGATCTCACGGCTGACCATAACCCGTACGTGCGTTCCAGAGCTTTAGTTGGGGGATAGTGGTCAAGGATCGGGGTTAACGGTTGGGGTCAAGGGCTGACGGTTAGGATCAGGGCGGTGGAATGTTAGGTGTTCTGGTGATGGCCGATATATCCTGTAAAACAGGCCGATAATCCGCCCTCCAGCCACAAATTGGTCGAGTAGTCTTGTGTTGGGTTGACGAATAGGACAAAAAAAAAAACCCCAGTGGAGCGGAAGGAACAGAAGAATTGTGGCGGTTGTGGCGTAACTGAACATACCTTGACACGTCGTCTCCTGCATTCACTGCATCCAGACCTGGATTTTTTGTGCGGACGCCGACGGCCTGCTGTAGCTGGAGCCGTCCCTGCAGGCTCGTTTATCGCAGGGGTCTGCATTAGTTAGTAGGTATGTAACATTTGGTGTTGGTTGGTTGGGGAAAATGAAAAGTGAATGATGTACGACTTGAATACGGTAAACGGCTGGTGGGTCTGCATGTACGAAGCTTAATAAAAGACTGAGTCAGGATGGAGTTACAGTGGGCCTTTTGGTACACTGCCGACTGCTAAGTTGCCACTCGGTGGACAAAAAACATGGCGGTAGTCTAGGTGTCTAGTTACCTACAACCACCGCTAATCGTGGGCGAAAATCAGTGTATACCCGCCATGTTTTTTGTCCACCCCTTGGTTGCTAATCCTGCATCCCTGAAAGATCGTGAAAGCAAGTATTTTGCCCCACTGCATCGCGCCAATCATCAATGAGAACTTTTTACTGCATCGTGCATCGATCGAGTTGCCAAGCTACCCAACAGATCTCTTGGTGACATGGTCTGGGGAACTGGCTTAAAGTTTGTAGTTTTTACCTCTGTCGTCAACCATGGACTATCTCAAAAGCACAGTAGCCAGTCTAACCCACGGGATAGACGGAAAACTATAGGGTAAGACCTACCCGTTGAGAGACAGTCCATGTCATGGAATGATGAGAGAGATGATGATGTATTCAGCAAGTTCTAGCTAGGTGTGTGGTGGAGCCAATCTATGCCACTGTGCCGTTTGGCATATGACAGTATTTATTGAAACTTTCTATAAACGATCTAGTTAATTCCCGAGAGCTCTAAGGTTCATTTACGAACTTCGCTAAAGCGTCATGAGTGGCATAAAACGCAGGCTTGGCGTGATATTGCTTGTCAAACATGAGTGGCCCCGCGTGGGGTACCCAGGTGTAGTTGTGCCCATCTGTAAATCCCCAAAAGTGAATGTCGGTAATTCCTGCGTGAAGAGCCTCGTCAATGACAGCGCCGTAGATGACGGCCTGCTTTGTCGAGTCGAGAGTGTGTACATCCATTTCAGCGATTGTGACTTCCAGTCCGAGAGCCTTGTAGGAATTGACCATGTCTGTAATCACGCCCGCTTCCGGGAGCACTTCGGTGATGTGCATTTGAAGGGCGACTCCATCAATGGGGACCCCGTTCGCCACGAGGCCGGAGACCAGGTCGTAGAGTTCCTGCCGCTTGGCGGGGTTTGATTCGACAAGATTCTCGTTGAGGAGTAGCTTAGCATCTGGGGACGCTGCCCGGGCCATGCGAAAGGCATCTTCGATATAGCTGGGACCAAGTACTTTATAAAAGTCATTGTTGGTCTGCAGGCCGCCGCCATTGGTTTTGAGAGCTTCGGCGACGACATCCCAACGATCAATCTTGCCAGCGTACCGCTCTAGGACTGCCTTGAAGTGAGCTGCCATTTCGGCGCGAAAAGCCGAGGGATCAGTTATGTTGAGAAGATAGTCGGGAGTACAGCAGTTCGAGATGAACCCATGCCCTTTCATCGCCATGTTGTGCTGTTCCGCGAAGCTGACTAGGCGGTCGATGGATTCCCAGTTATAGGTATCTTTGGTCGGGTGGATAAACGACCATTTCAATTCATTTTCGGGTGAGAGGCTGTTGAACTGCTCTGCAAGGACAGCCGCGAACATGGTCTCATTGAGCCAATGAGGATTTATCATCCCGGACCCAAACAGAATGTTTTTCTTGGCCGCCTCCTCCCTCAGAGTGGTGGTGCCGGTGCATGGGACCGTAGCCGTTGCTCCGACAGCGGTAAGAAGCGTGGTGGTGAAGATTGCTGCCTTCATGATTCTGCCTGACAAAAGTGCTGTCGGGTAATGTGTAGAGATGATTGAATGTGATGGTGAATGTTGGATAGCTGCAGTTACAACATCGATGAAGAGACTTTATATTTATACTACGACAAAATGAAAGCTGAGGCGTTTCCACGAGGCTGTGGCGTTGCAATATGGGCATGTACGCGTTGCCAGATCTTTAGCCAGAAAACAAGTCAAAGGTTAATCGAAACCTTGATAACGAGCAACGCAAATAGGACACTAGGACAGAAAAGCCGCTGTTCTTGCCAAACCAAAATGCATTCAGTAGGAGAGGCCTTGACGACTTGGTTCGGTTCGAGTGGACGTCATCGTTCCGATCGGACTCGGCACAAGCGGGAAGGCATAGACATGCTATGGTACTGTTACTAGAAAAGGTGTGGGAGTGGAAAAGAAGCGACTACAGAAAGCGAAACGAGAAGGAGGCTAAAAAACCGGAGTAATAATAAACTCAGTTGAGTCTCTCGCGCTAGGCGACAGCGGCAGCTCGCAGACTCGGCAGTGAACCGAAGAAGAGATTCAGTATGTGCTCGCCACACCGTTATTGCGGTTGTATTCGCTTCACCACGTCAGAGCCTAATATAATCTCTAGACTCGTAAAGGAATACATAAATACGGGATACGAGACACAGCTCCTCCCCGCGGCGGACTCGGCGGACTAGAGGCTTCCATGACCCCCACGCTTTAACGTTAACTTATGGGGTAGTTATTTAAAATGCACTGTAATCATTCTCAGGTACGAAGAACGAGATACGATGCTAGCGCTGTTCCACTTCGGAGAGCCATGCTCGGTACGGATTACTTGCCGACTCTCGCCAAATTGAGTCTATTCCTGTTTTACTTATGTGCTGGTTGCGACGGCTTCAGCTTCTGGTCCGACAGCTGACGACGCTCAGCCCAAGCCAAACATTGATGCTATCGCACCGAATGCGATTTGAACACAATATGAATAATAATCACGAGGGAGAAAGCTCTACTGAGTGCTTTGAGCTGCCCGGTGACAACGAATCATCCCTGCAAGCTACACCCGCCCCGGCCTATTCGAGCTGCCGTGCGACTGTCATTGACGACACTATGTTGGATATTCCCAAGTTCGCTTCTCTGACACACAAAAGCTCTATTGGAGCCAATGCCATGACCAAGAGTACAGTACCCCCATCACCTTCACTGACAATGAAAGCGTTCCGTGTCGCCTTTGGCACACACGATGACGTCTACCCACTACTCGTCAGAGGCACTTGACGCTCACCATGCTGTTAGATGATGGCCGAGTTGATATTGACTGCAATTCGAAGCTTGTGCGCTCCCTTACGGCCGTTTACCGTGGACCGGCTCGAAAGTCTCCCAAAGGCCCGGCGCCCGAGTACTCGGCAGCCAGTGGGCAACAAACCGCAGAATGGGCTACGAAGCTCAATGTCGTCATTCAGGTTGTCGGCAGCCGGGGAGATGTTCAGCCATTTGTCGCTCTCGGCACCGAGCTCCAGCGACATGGCCATCGCGTCCGTCTGGCGACTCACAACATCTTTGACAAATTTGTTCGAGACGCTGGGCTCGAGTTCTACCCTGTTGGAGGCAATCCAGCCGAGCTGATGGCTTACATGGTCAAGAATCCGAGTCTTATCCCAAGCATGGGCAGTCTCGTCGCCGGAGAGGTCCAGAAGAAGCGCCACATGGTAGAGGAGATGCTGGACGGATTCTGGGACTCGTGCCTGCAGGACGATCCGGTGACTGGGAAGCCCTTTGTTGCCGACGCCATCATTGCGAACCCGCCTAGCTTTGCTCACGTCCACTGCGCTCAGGCGCTGGGTATCCCGGTCCATCTCATGTTTACCATGCCCTGGAGCAATACACGAAGCTTCCCACACCCTCTGGCCAATCTCAAAAATGTCAATGGAGACGTCGGAATTGCCAACTATTTGTCGTACGACGTCGTGGAGTGGATGACGTGGCAAGGGTAAGTTTTGTTCCCTGGCTTGACGGTGCCGCTATATCCTAGAGCTGGGCGATTTCGGCTCACTCTGTCAGGCTTGGTGATATTGTCAATAAGTGGCGTAGATTAATCGATCTGGAAGACGTGGCCATGTTTGACGGTCCAATGTTGACCAAGTCACTGAATATTCCGTTCACATGCTGCTGGTCGCCGGCGCTGGTACCAAAGCCAGACGACTGGCCATCTCACATTGGTATGATACATCACAGGTCAACAGCCCCCCTCCAAACACCCTGGTTGATGACGGTATAGACGTTTGCGGATTCTTCTTTCGCGATGCTCCCAAGTTCGCTCCGCCTGCAGACCTTGTCCAGTTCATCGAATCTGGTCCCGCGCCAATCTATATTGGATTCGGTAGTATCGTGCTAGATGATCCAGACAAAGTGCTTCGTACCATCTTGGATGCTGTGCGAGCCACTGGAGTTCGTGCCATAATCTCCAAAGGCTGGTCCGACATGCCAGGGTCAGATTCACCCGATATCTACTGGATCGCGGAGTGCCCGCATGAATGGCTTTTCCAACATGTCTGCGCCGTGGTCCATCACGGAGGTGCAGGCACCACGGCTTGCGGGTTGAGGAATGGAAAGCCTACCATTATTGTGCCATTCTTTGGAGAGTAAGCTTCACCCCGCCCTCTACTTGTGCGAAAATGATGGCACATTATATTCATTAAATTTATGTTTTTCAACCTGGAACTGACATCTTTTTCTGCTGGAGCCAACCGTTCTGGGGCGATATGGTCGCCAAGGCTGGCGCAGGCCCCAAGCCCATACCTCACAAGGAGATGACTGCGGAGATACTCGCGAAAGGAATCCGATATTGCTTATCTGACACGGCTGTGGCTGCGGCAAAATCATTGGCATCAAGAATGGAATCTGAGGTGGGTGTGAGAGCCGCCGTTCAATCCTTCCATCGGCACCTGCCGCTGGAGCGCTTGCGATGTGACCTGATTCCTGATCAACCAGCTGTGTGGATATACGACAAGGCAGAACGGCCTCTCAAGTTGTCCAAGATGGCCGCCGCCATCATACTGGAAAACACATCGGTCCAAACCAAGCATATAAAGATGTGTGTGCCTGGTCCCCGCCATAGCCCTTGGCAATCCCTCAACTTTCAACGAGTCTGGAAGCTGATCGCTCGAACTTAGGTATCAAAGCAATTCTATCATCATTGAGACGACACGCTGGGATCCTATTTTCGGCGGGGCTTCAGCAGTCATGGCAACGACAGTAGATTTGACTGGGTCTGTCACGGGTATATTCACCAAGCCTGTGAAGGAGTGGCGCAACGATAGGCGACAACGGGCCCGCGACCTACAAAATCTTGAAAGTGAAAACAGCTCTTCCGTGATGCACCATGGACATAGTCAAGACCAAAAGGGTCAGACTAGTCTCGACGGACGTTCCTCTAGTGACTCAAATTTAGCTGCAAGCACCAAGTTCTCGAAGAAACAGGGCTCATTGGCTGGGAGGATGGCCGGCGCATCAGCCAAAAGCATCGGTAACTTTGCACCAACTGCTCTCAAGGGCATGCTGGTTGACATTCCGCTTGCCATCACCGAGGGCCTGAACTCTGTACCGAAAATGTATGGAGGCACTGTCCGCGATAACGGCCAAGTCACAGACGCCAAGAGTGGCGCCATCGTCGCTGGCAAAACTTTTGCTCGAGGCTTTGTGGATGGGTTTACCGACCTCGTGGTAGAGCCGTACAATGGCGCCAGAAAAGACGGCGCCCTCGGAGCAGTCAAGGGCCTGGGAATGGGAGCAGTCAGCCTGACAACCAAGAGCGGAGCGGCCATGTTTGGACTGCTTGCATATCCTTCCTCGGGCATTAGTAAAAGCTTGCGAGCTGTCGCCCACAGCAGGACTCGTGGAAGAATAGCTCTTCAACGGCATGCAGAGGGTGCATGGCTGGTCAAATCTGGATCGAGGCGGATCGACTCTGTGCATGTTGAAGATTTAGTTTCGGCATTCAATCGATGGGGGAAAGAACAATAGTACGTAGTTGTAAGCCCGTTGCCAGCCGCAAACTTATCTTGCCTGCATGATAAGGGAAAGCTTTCATCTTGACTCACCTACTTCCTGCGAAAATTTTATTGATTGCAAAACTGGTAGCCATTCAATGCTCGTCTTTGCAGAAATGGCATCGCACGGAGCTATTTTTCGGAAGGTTCTGCTACGGAGGTGCTTTCTGGTATCAGTCAGAGAGTGACCAAAGTTGGACGGTGGTCTAGCTGAATCAATATTATTCCAATTCTTCACCTGACCATGCAAAGCGACGTGGCTAGGATACGCGTAACCAGGCTGTGAGGCTTGCTACAAAAGTATTATTCCCTTTCTGTCAGCCACCTACCTGTGTGATCAGCTAGGCGCAGTCCCAAAGCTGCCATTCTGACTTGTACCCCCCATGAGCGACGCGCATTTTGCATCTACTATTGCTACGTGAATATACCTCTTTTTCCTTATAATATAAAGAAAACCGCAATCTGGCCGATATCACTATAAGGCCCCGTAACATAATACTCACTAATATAACTAACCCTCTAATAGCGGCCGGCTCTATTCTACATATTATTACCACCGGTATATAGCTAATATAATATAAGTTATAGAGATAGAGTAAAATATATTTAAATAGAAGTATTTAGTGACTTTAGCTAGAGTTTTAGTAAAATATATAAGTAAGTAGTTATTATATTTTATTCCTAAGTATTAAGGGCTATAATAAATATATAAATATATATAAATATAATATAGTTAGTTATAGCTTTTATAAATATATTAAATATTAATATTATAAGCTAAAAGGATAAGGGGGGAGAGGCTTTATATAAAAATATATAATAGGAGAATACTTTATAAATTAAATCTATTAAGAAAAGCTAGTTAAAATTCTTAGAAAATTAACTATAATATTATAGGAATCAGAGATAACTAACTATAAGAAGGATATTATTAAAATAAAAATAATAAAGTAACTTATTATAACAATGGCTTAATCCTAATCCATAGTTAGTCTGTTTCTTAGGTAGTAAGTTAGGTTTAAATA